TATAATAATAATAATAATAAAAACAACAAAAGTATAAAATCAACCCAAATCACTAAAATCTCATATTCTTTAACATGTTCATGTCATTTCAGATGCTATTTTTAATATTTGCAAATCTGTAACTTTCCTTAAATGAAGCCTGGTGATTCAAACACAAAGGTTCTTGTTTAGGCACTTCCTGTAATAGGGGAACAAGACTCTGTACCGCTCTCCCGACTTGTGCTTCTGCACTGTCCCTTTGGCACACAGGTTTCTCATGGAGACTACAAGTGGCTGTTTCAATACAAATTAAACTTGCATGGCCAACTGTTGTCCCCAACTGGAAGCTAGCTCTAAGAGATGCAGCTATTACTGGAGTTCATGAATGTAGACACTTTGTTTTCAGTGATACACCCGTTCCTGTTCTCAGCTGTCACAGTCTTATGTGTGCCGCTGCGGTTATAGGATGATAGCTGGAGGAAAGGGTCATGCTGCAAAGTCTCTGTATGTATCTCTTGTAAAAGGTAAAAGAATACACTAAAAAAGGAACTACATTTCATTTTTGTATTTAAAAGAAAAAAAAAAAAATTGTTACCTCGACAGCTTTTAGCTCTTCTAGAATTTCAGAAACTTTGGAGGGTAAGTTTTTCCAAGCCTTCAAATTACATAAAAAAGATGCATTAGTGCACAAACCATTAAACACAACTTGTCAGACATAACAAGCAGATAAAAACTAACCGGGAGCTGCCGGACAATGAGGTTCTCCAGCCCTCCGAGGATCTGCACGGCTGAGGAGAAATCTCGCTGTTCGTAGCATAATTTGGCAACGAGGAGAAATTTTGTCAAAAGGTTTGTCTGCAACTAGAAAGACAAACAGCATTTACAATGATAATCTGCAGCTGCCACATCAACACAGGCACACAATTCTTTTATTAAAGAAATTAGTCTTTTTTTTGGATTGGTTGAGGAAATAGCAAGTGAGAGTAATAGACCTTAAATGAGAACTATGAGGTGAGTGCTTTTCACTCACCTAATAGTTCTAGCCGACCTGTGACAATGAGACTGTCACAGGTCGGCTCAGTAGATCGGGAGGTGAGCGAACACATACCGGCGTTCGCTCACTCTCGATCCTGTCACGGCTCTCTGCCATGACAGGGTAGGGGCTGGATTCCCCCCTCCCCGCTCCGATCCGCCAGCGCTGACTGGCGGAACGGACGGGGAAGGGGGTGGGTACAGCTGGCTCTGCCTCTAGATAGGCAGAGCCAGCTGTCAGTCACGCAGCTGGGCGGATCCCGGCACAATTGTCGGGATCCGCTTCAGTTGCGGTCGTCTCAGTATACCACGAGCAGTAGCTCGTGGTATACTGCAGCGTCTCAGTATACCGCGAGCTACAGCTCGCGGTATACTGAGCCTAGGGTGACGGGAGGATGCTAGTTTGTGTCCTTCCGTTACCCTAAGGAGAACTATGGGGAAAAGCCTTAACCCTGTAGTTCTCCTTTAACTCTTTTGACTTGTACTTCCGTAAAAAAGAAGAAGAAAACCCCCCAAAAAAGACAGCCTGGGATGATTATATCCAGAAAGACTGATTTCTTTTTTTTAAAAGATTTTGGAAGATATATGATTCTTGCACATTCTTCACAGCTGCTATCTAGGGATTAATAGAGAGGAAGCAATAAAGAACTCACACCAACCTATATGCAAAGGTAGATGAGACAGTAAGACAAATGGCAGACCTGTATTCACAAATAAGTACAGCTTTGTCATCTGATCTCTGCTGAAGAAGAGGATCAGAAATTTAAAGTGGCTGATCTTTACCTTCAACAGGGATGAGGTCACCAAGGACATCACACAAGAAGGAACAAAAGGCAACAGGAACAAATGCCAAGGTGCAGATCTAGTTTTCAATTGGTGTCCTTCCTTCTGGAGGGCGGCTACTTTTGTTCCCTATGGTACCTGTGTGTGTTGTAAAGTTCGCTCCCGTGATGGACTACAATCTCAATACAAATTAGTAAACTAAACGTGAGATTGTAGTCTATCATGGTAGCGAGCTTGGAGCCATGGCTACTGTACAATACACACAGGGACCATGGGGAACAAAAGTAGTCACCCTCCAGAAGGAAGGACAGTGTCAGCACCTATTCAGAGATGATTTGAGGATATACAGCCGAGTGATACACAAATAAGATACATCTTTGTTAATGGTTAAGATACTTGAATGTATTTTTAAGATTTAACTCCTGAATTTAGTGTCACTTTAATGTCATTTGAACTTGGCCGAGTGATGGGAATGGAACGGAGCATAGTCTGTGCTGGCTCGGAGCTGTTCAGCAAATACTCGTCATTTACAAACAGTAAATAGAGAGGGTTATGGTGGCTGATAATGGGGCAAGTGTGCATATGATGTCCTCAGACCAGCCAAACACAGAAAGTTTTTTTTTAAATGCAGTAGAATGAAACCATTTCATTCTCTGGTTTGTCTTGCTTGACTGTAAGACTTATTGATTACTGGCTGATTTGTTGCCATGCACAACTGTTCCCCATTTTGTCTGCTCCAGTTTTGATAAATTCCCCTCAATGTCTTTAGGGTTTAACCCTTTGTTAGGACAGACAGTCCTGCTCATCTAGCTTACAAGTGATAATGAAATCTGCCCCAAGTCCTGGAATAAGCAGAAACATCATCTAATAAGAGAATATGCAAATAGGAATGTACTCTAAAGGAATGGAAAAATGCAACAGATATAAAGTAAAACACAAAGAGCACCGCCTCCATGTGTAAAAACCTTTTATTAAATTCATAAAAATAAAGATAGTTCTGAAGAAGGGGGCGTGCCCCTGAAACGCATAAACCAGGCTTACAGCAGCCAGTGGTGTGTCAGCTGTTTTATCGAGTCACTGTGGATTTCTCCTCGTGTCTGACAGTGTGACTAATAAGGCGTTCAAACCTCTACCATTTGTGAGTACATATACTTGTTTTTATAAATTATAGGGCTGTTACTGATTAAAATTTTCGTGTTCGATCAAATTTTTTTTAATCAATTAATTTTGATTATAACGCACATACAGATCCAACTACATTGGCCTATACACATACAGCACAGCAATGAAGTAATAAATTGAACTAGGATCACACTAATCCAGCACGTTATTAATCTCACATGCCCCACTCAATATGGCCGCCGCTTGAGTGGGGCAACTCAGAATAATAACGTGCTGGATTAGTGTGATCCTAGTTCATTTTATTACTTCATTGCTGTGCTGTATGTGTATAGGCCAATGCCTTGGCTGGCGCTCGTGCAGAACAAGTTTCTTTAGCATACCTCTTAGTTGTAACGAAACCGGAAGTCAGGCGGTCGCAGAACTCGATAAGATCAGTGGCTCCGTCGGCTGACGAAGGGAAGGGGGGAGGAGTGTCTGTCCGTGACGTCACCGGACTCCTCCCCCTTTCCTACATTAGCCGACGGAGCCACTTGTGGAGGGGGGAAGGAGTCCGGTGACGTCGATGTCCGTGGCGTCACCGGATCTCCGATGGGACTCCCGTAAGACCCGGAAGCCGGCGGAGAGGTGAGTTTTCATTTTTGATCAAAATAATTTTAATCGATCAAAAATGTTAACGATTAATCGAGAAATTAAATCGGTAATTTCCGCAGCCCTAATTAATTTAATAAAAGGTTTTTACACATGGAGGCGGCACTATGCTTTTTGTGTTCTATTTACATGTGCTGTGGGAATCCCTGATCCCTTTGATGAGTGTTGATGATTGAGTTACTGTGGGAGGATCATCTGAGGCTACCATCTAGCACTGAGATGGACGCTTTTTTTTTTTAACACTGGTAGGGTTATTCACAAAAGGGTGAAGAGTTTAGAGAAGGCAGGAGAAGTGAACAATCTAGGACAACATAGCTGATTTAGAAAAATTCTCCAATTCAGCTCACTTTCCAGTTCAGCTATGTTGTTGTATTTGATCTGCCAAAGGTTCCACTAAACAAAAAGAATGTAGATGATCTCCAAATGCAGAGGACTGTCATCTGAAAATCAAATGAATTTCCTCATCATGCATGCTAGATTGGACACAGATGTCAACACGCTGCCAACCACAGAATGGAATGATCTGCACCGATAACGTCTCCCACTAATGATCATCTGTGGAGATCGAATTTCTACCATGTTGAAAAAAAATCAGTTTGATATCTGCCAATTCATTGATACTTTTGACTATTTTTTACTTAAAAACGAACCATCGTAAATGCTTATTAGATCACACAAAAGACAATAAGGGAAATGTATCAAAACTGGAGCAGACAAAATTTGGAGCAGCTGTGCACGGCAACCAATCAGCTCTCTTTCATTTTCAAATCTTAACTGAACAAACTGAAGAGAGAAGCTGATTGGTTGCCATGGGCAACTGCTCTAGATTCTGTCTGTTCCACTTTTGATAAATCCCCCCACAATCTATGTTCAGCCTTCTGTAAGGTGCACATATCTTTAAATTAACAATGAGCAGAGTTCTCCCCCCCCCCCCCACTCCCCTATAATGGCTAAACACGCATCCAGATTTTCATTGCCAGTGTTTAAACATGAACACAAGATAGACAAACAAAAGACAATCACACCATCGAATAAGGATTCATATTCATTAAAGAATGTTAAATACGGTTTTGCAGAGAGCTAGCTTATTGCTGAACTCCAGGCACATATAAAAAGAAAGTTAAAAGGACATCTTGGGGTCAAAAACTAAAAATGTATATGTATTTCTATACTGAATTTACATAAGTTCTCTCCCACTCCTAGTGACAATGTCCATCTTAAAGTTTGTAAACTAACCAATTGAAGATGCCCATAGGATGTACTTCATCAATACACTGACCCAATTCACTGAGATCTGATGGGACATGCATTTCCTTGTGTCACAACTCTCACGGAGCCTGCCTTCTGAACTACAACTCAACATCTGAACAATGTAACGTTATCATTGCTTGCTGGAAGAAATGCATGATGGGATATGTGGTATTGAGAATTTGAGATTGCATCACATCAAGCAGCAGGGAAAGAGATGCAAAGCACACTGGGAATCCAGGAAGTTGATGAAATTGATGGGAAGACGGAAGGCAGCACTCACTGTATAAAAATCCTTTTTATGTAGTAAGTAAGCTTTGATTGCATTATCAGATACACCTCTAGTATGTATTCCTATTACAATGCTGATGTTATAACAGGAGAGGATATGCTGGGACTTTAAAACTAATTTAAAGGAGAAAAGAAAACGTAAACAATGACGAATGTATTTTATGTGCCACTAGAATATGTATCGAAATCTAAGTTGGTATTAGCTGAGCACTCAGACTGCGGGGAGAAGGGGCAGCAGAGGAGGAGCTATTCAATTGTGTCGCAGTGCACTCTGCTGGCAAGGAACATGCTGACAGAGAAGAGAGAGAGATGACCTCATCAGTCAGCTACTGCTCTTTCACTATCCAATTACAGGCCAGCGTAGGGAGGTGACCAGGATGTATTGCAGAACTGCAAGAAAACTCAGGTCACCAACTCGGCAGGACTTTTTAAATCTCGGGACAGAAATACAAATTCATTGGCAGGTAAACCAGTTCTCAAAAATGTTAACGGTTTGCCTGGAATTCAGCTTTAACAATCTGAATCTGTCTTTATATCTGATCCGTCTCCTGTAAATCCCTGCAGAGCAGCACTCAGACTGTAACAGGGAGGGCAACGCTAAGCCAAGGAAGGCTCTACTGTGAGATGTCAGTTTCAGCACTGCACATGACTAGAGAAGAGGACCTCATCAATGCTCTGCTTCTTCTTTAGGGCCCATTTACACACGATCCGTTGCGTTGCAATACATTTTTCAATGGATGCTAACAAAAGGCCACCGAAAAATAAATGGGGCTCTGTCACCTCGCTCCAGCCTATTGCGTTACGTTGCACTGAAAAACGGCAGACTACGCACTATTTTTTTTCAGCACAAAGTAACGCAACGGATCCGGTGTGAACTAGCCCCATTCATTTTTTCAGTTCCCTTCTGTTAGCATCCGTTGAAAAACAGATCACAACTCAATGGATCGGAAGGTACAAATGCAAGTCACTTACAGACCACGGTGGGTGCTTGACCATATTGGTCAACTGTAGTGTAGTCTCCTGGGCTAGCCTGGATCACAAGACTGGCTGAAGATCGTTACAATTTTTTTGGCAAGTTAAACAGCTCCCATGTATGTGGCAGCTGTAAGGGGCACACAATGCATATTCGATACATTCAAAACTAACCTTGGATGTGTGACATGTAACAATTTCCGCTGCCACCCACATACTGACACTGTCTGCGAATCTTAACAACTGCAGCAGGTACTTATCATGTGTAGAAGTTAGCGAGAACAGACTGCTAACTTCAGCTGTCAGAGCCTCCGAGGAGAACGTTCTGGAAAGACAAAAAAAAAATGTTACTCATTAAAAATATAACAAGCCACAGGCTGAAGAGGAGAAGAGATCTCACAATATCCAGGACACCAACAGGGCATGTTATATGGTACATTGTACAGAGAACAGTAAACATTATCTACAGAAAAACACCAGTCATATGGGTCTCATATGACGTAAGAACTACAATTATATTTGTTATCCAAATTACCCGGATTTAATTCTGCACTGCTCACTCTTTAAAATGTAAATGTGATTCTGGTTGGTGGACCACCCCAGTACACACAGTTTTTATACAAGGCATTTTGATCAATTAAGCCCACGGTGCATTTAAAAGGAGAACTGTACCCCCTTTGTCATATCTTTGAAATGACAACAAAGACACCTTTAGAAATGTTTAGTAATGACAATCTACAAACACATACTTCTAGATAATTACCGGCTTTGTATTCATTGCATAGCTTATTTTTCTTTTCCTCCCCATACACTTACCACAGTGGCCATTTTTACCAAAGGATGATTATTATATCTACCTTCACCTCCTGGAACTCAGGCTTATGTGACCATGCACATCATCGCAGGGGAGGAACATGTCTTTCCCTGAGATCTCGTGAGATTACAGATGACATATTCCAGTAATGCGCTGCTGATGTAACCTTCCTAGGATGCAATGCTTGGACACAGATTACATCACTAATGCCCAAGAGGACCAGGAAGTGAAAAAAACAACAATGGTAAGTAAAAGAAAAATATGTTTAACTAATGAATGTAAGATGATTTTTAGGGAAATGGGGTAAAGGTCCGCTTTAGAGCCTGGCTTTGGAAGGTTTACACATGTAAAGGTGTGTTCATGCTGGAAGTTACAGGCAAGCCATGAAAAGCTAGACAATGGAAAGATAGGGAGAGAATGTTTGATTACATAACATGCAGTGGGGCTACAGGGGAAATAAATCATTGCAGGGAGGTGAGGATTTTTGGCAGAAGAGACATGCAAAGGCCTCCTCCTTCCTCTCTCCCCCAGTGCTTTGTTATGTTCTGTGCACAGCACACGCGACATGCAGTGTACACACTCTTCGCAGCATCTCTAGGATGGCGTGAACCAGCCGGGCGCCGCGGTAAATGTAACTCCTGTAGGCGTGTGCAGGTGTTATATCAGTGGCCGCCCAATGGTCAAAGAGGACTTTCAAGAACTGGCAAGTGTCATAAGCAAAAATGTCAGCAGCGGGGGACACAGCTGAGGGCCAAAGATTGATCCAACACGCTGGACAAGGGAATACCTTTAAGGTAAATGTAAGGCAGGGGTGGGTAACTCCAGCCCTCCAGCTGTGCTTTAGCTACAAATCCCAACATGCCCCTGCCTCTGGGAGTCCTGCCTACAACTGTCAGTCTTGCAATGCCTCATGGGACTTGTAGTTCCACAACAGCTGGAGGGTCCGAGTTGGCCACCCCTGGTGTAAGGTAAGGTAAGTTTCAAATACAGAACATTTTCAAGGCGGTATCATTTGAAGTGTGATTTTCCATAGCAACCAATCAGAATTCACTCTGCATTTGCATGCAGACCAGCCTAGGAAATGCCACGTGTGATGATGCGCCTCCATGATTACAAGAACTGAAATCCAATGACTGAAAGGGGCAGGGCCAAGGACAGTAAGGCTGGGGAGTTAGGATCTGGATGATGCTGGATGTCCTCCAGTGAGGTGCACTTCTAATGCACATTATGAGAGGCTCACAGTGCGAGTAAGAAATGTCAGTACATGAGAGGAGCTTGTACAAATGTGCAAGTCTGAAGGTAAGGCCGGAGTTTAGCTTTAAGTTGATCTGCCACATGAGTACCGTTCTACTCCTTTTCCTTGTAGATGCTGTACAGTCCATCTGGTGTCTCTGCACATCTGGTCCTGGAATTCAGCATACCTCCTCCATACCACAATGATACAGTAGGGCCCTGGTACACTCTGTACACATACAGAACTGACCTTGATCTATTCCTGGTCTGCTTACCTTGTCACATTGCTGGATTTGTCTTTAACCCCTAGTGCCCGTGAGTTCAGGAAATGGACAGGATGGCACTTCTGAAATATTTCCTAAGAAATGGATATAAACATATTAAAACAACAGGGACAGGAAATATACTATATAGTCTATACTATACTATATAGAGAGAACACAATGCCTTCCCTACAAGGAATAGTAGATCTGTGCGTTAGCATACTATGCCTGCCTTCGCCATGCTGTGGGCATATTAACTCCATGCTCTTTGATCACGGGCTTTATTATTACTATACAAGATTTAGATCATACCAACAGCTTGCGCAACACTTTACAATATAGGTAAGCCCCACTGCAAGGGTTAATACAAGTTTTGCCCGGAGTTCTTCTTTAAACATCTACAAGTGTCCGATAAAAGGAATTTGGTTGGGCAGGAAATTGTCACTTCCATCATTGGAAGAACAGCCCTGTGAATGGTAATATGGCAGAAAAAGTAATATATCTAAACTGCTGCTTCATAATATCATATGTGATGTAAAGTTTACAGAAGGGTTGTTGACCACGGGTCATTTTTAGGGATGCACCAATACCGCTTTTTCTGTATCGAGTACCGTTTTTTTTTTGGTACTCGCCGATACCAAATACCAATACCGGAAGTCCAATTAAGGAAGCCAGGCGGCATGTAATGACTCGCCGCCTAGATTCCTGATTACCTGGGAAGTCGGGTGGCGTGTAAAGTCTTGCCACCCGGGTTTCCGATTAGCAAGGAAGCAGTCTCCATGATTCCTCCTCCCCAGGTTACGAGGAAGCATGGAGCCGGCTTTCTGGCCAATCAGGAAGCGGGGGGGAGAGTTGGGTAATGACTCGCCGTCTGACTTCCTGATTGGCCAGCTTCTCGACCAAACAGAAAGCCAGGCAGCGAGTCATTACAAGGTGCCCGACTTCCTGATTGGCCGGCTCCATGCTCCCTCGTCAGCACGTGACAAGGGAGCATGGAGCCGGCTTCCCGGCCAATCAGGAAGCCGGGCAGCATGTAATGACTCACTGCCCGGCTTCCTGATACCGGAAATTCGGGTATTGGGCTAGGCATCGGAGCATTTGGGCGAGTACAAGTAATACTCAGTATTGGCACCGATACTAGTATCGGTATCTATGCATCACTAGTCATTTTCATCTGTAATGTTTGTGCGTCTTATTGTACATTGACCGGCATCGATGGTCTTGTTGTTCCCGGATTGTGTGAAGGCTCTTTAACACTTCATGACCAGAATTTCTTTAAAACCTAACCTGGCCATACACTGCTGGAATTTCAGCCTTGCGGACTCAACAAAAATCGATTGTCGAAGGATCCGAGTGAAAAATTGTCAACAGAACAGTGACTAGCCAATCAGTTGCAGTTACTATGGGGGTATTCTGACAGTGGCAGGTGCCAGCGGTCAGAATACCATAACCCGGCAGGGAAGATCCAGCCATCCACACTGTTTAGCATTGATGGAGGAACCTGTTAGATTTCTTTCCTTCAGCCTGCAGGCTAAAAGAAAGAGATCTGTATGTGCACGGCCGGCTTAGACACACAGTCCAGGTTTTGCAGCATTTGGCATGCATGATTTAACTTGACAAATTTGGCTAATTTTTTTAATTCCAAGTGGGATTGAGAACTAAAAACACGCACACAGCTACACATTCTTAGGGCTCTGCTGCAAAGGTAATTAACATTAGCATGACAAGGGGCATTTTACATTCAGACTTGTATTGCTGTCGTGAAGGGGTTAATGACCGTTATGGGAGAGCCAAAAGAGATGGCCTTTGGCTCCCTCTAGTGCTATTAAATAGTCATGATCCAACAAAAGAAATAAAACATCCAAGAAAATTAAATTATACTGTACTGCACATTCATGTTGAAGACCTGTTGTTGCAGCGTGTGCTTACCATCCACAGCACGATATATTTGTGTATATTATGAATGTCATAGTGACTAAAAGGGGCAATGATGCCATCTGCATTCTGCAGGTGAGGATAATACTAACGTGTCATATCAAGCAGGCTAAGACGACGGTGACACCTACAGGCCACACAAATCATCTGCACCTATACCTTTTCAGCAGCAATTCTAGGCAAATGTATATATCTATATCCAATTTCTGCAGCACTTTCCATATGGTACATTCACAGTCCTAGGAGCTTATAATCTAAGGTCCCTATGTCCCATGCATATATACAGGGCCAATTTAGACAAGCGCCAATTAACCTACCAGCATGTCTTTGGATTGTGGACAAAAATCGGAGTACCTGAAGGAAATCCACGGAAGCACAAAGAGCAAATGCAAACTGAACCAAGGCCACAGTGCTGGAAGGCAGAAGTACTAACCATTAAGTCACTGTGCTGCCCTAATAAGAGGAAAGGTCTAAATTCTAGGTCATGAGACAGTAAGGCATGTCAATCTTGTACTTCAGCACTTGGAGTGACAGTTTGATTTTATATGCACATTTATAAAAGTTACGTCATCACAAAATTATTAGCATCACATTAGATCAATGGAAGATTACAATATCTAGGTGTCACGCCTTGTTCATTCAATTCAAGCTGAATCGTGCAAAAACAGTCAAAGGAACTGAATATTTTAAAAGTGTACCTGTAACCAGTAAGGCTTTAGCAAACATAATTTACACATCAGTGCATAGTATGTACTTCCAGGTACCTACAAGTATCTTTAGCTTCTCTTCAAAGCACTAGATGACCCCAAAACTTAGGATGTTCTTATAATGAAATATCAGCAACAACTAGGAAGTCATAGACTGGTCTGGTCCCTTTCCACTGTGTAAATGGCTACCGATCCATTACAGTGATGGGGGGCCTTGGTAGCCAATAGCAAGGCACCAAGTGAAGGAAAAAACCTCCGACTTCCTAAATGAAGAATTTGGGAATCCCTGCAAAGAAGCAAAGTATACCTGCAGGAATCTAGAGGGATCGGCTCTTGCACTGCAGTGCCACTTTTGTTAAAGCATGTTGGCTACAAGCATACAAAACACAAGGCCGGCAACTACCAGAATAATAGTTAAGTGTGTATTTGTGGGCTACTTTTTTTCAGGTAGTAAGCAACTAAAATTCCTAATGTGCTTCAATATATAGGTAGGCTTGCACATAAAAGGGTAACTCCACTTCCCCAGTTAAATTAGGTAAAATAAAATTACCCCTTCCAATCTGCCTCCCACACTGATCTTTGGGCGAATGCTTCTTCCCCTCTTCCGGTGTACTATCCGTACATCACAGAACAGGCCTGCACTCTGTATTAAGAGTTTCGCTTGCAAATGGCGAGCATTTATTATTTAGCAAGGACACCTGACTGTGCTGACCAATGAGAAGCGCATCTTACTAAGAAACGCTTCTCATTGGTCAGTGTGGTCCGGTCAGGTGCCCTTCTGTGTATGGGGTATGGATAGTACACCTGAACATGTGGAGGGGAAGGAGCGTTCACCCAAAGGTAAGTATAGTGGGGAGGGGGGTGGGACAAGAGGGAGTCATTATATCTTCCCAAATTCACCCGGGAAAGTGGAATTACCCTTTAAAACACAAATAGTTAAAGGAATCTAAGCACTTCAGGTTTTGGTGTGGTCTGGCATTGTTATCTGTATAGAGCCAATATAGATTGTTGAATTACTTGGCTGCTATGGAAAATGCGTCAGCATTGCTCTTCCCCTTTTATGACATAAATCCAATGTACTTTATTTAGCACCACAAGACTCACTGAGCACATTTCAGGTTCAAATGGTTGTTGGCTAAAGGTATACAAATATTTCCAATCCATACTGACCTCTTGGAGTAAAGTGAGCTGAGTTGAGATCTGCTGAACACTGCACTCATGTATAGAGTATGGTCCAGCCTCGTCTCCCTTCATATAATAGGAGGACAGATCGTCTACAAAGCCAGGGTAACACGGCCGAGGTAAAGCTGCTGATATTGTATACTGCTTATCCCTGTGATGGGTTATATGGAGTCCATTACCTTTAGAGAGTTTCCAGTTAAAGCTCTGCAACAAACACAATACAGATATACTTTAATTTTCCGATTACATACATTGGCTACTAATACATAAACCAAAGATGGCCACCAGACTTTTATACATGATGTCTAGGCTGTTAATAAATACAGAATGGGGAGAATTTATCAAAACTGGAGCAGTTGCCCATAGTAACCAATCAGCTTTTCTCTTCAGTTTGCTCCGGTAAGATTTGAAAATGAGACAGAGAAGCTGATTGGTTGCCATGCACAGCTGCTCCAGATTTTGTCTGCTCCAGTTTTGATAAATTCTCCCAAATGTATATTGGAGCACAAAAAGACCATGTTCCCTTCTGTAACTATTACTATGACTTTGCCAGAGTAGTGAAACAAGACCGTATGTATCTTATTAAAAAGGACCTTGTAATTAAACCAACACTGAAGAGAACATTCCTTTTTACCTTAACCACTTCAAGACCAGGTGTTTAGACCCCCTTCCTAGCCAGGCCATTTTTCAGTATTCAGCGCTGCGATACTTTGACTGACGTTTATTCCGTCATGCAACGCTGTACTGACATGAATTTTATACCATTTTTTGGGGACAGATAGAGCTTTCTTTTGGTGGTATTTAATCACCACTAGGGTTTTTATTTTTTATTATAATTAGGAAAAATTACTGAAAATTTTGAAAAAAAAACGTTTTGTAACATTATGTTAGGAAACATTTATTATTACCCAGTTTTTGGTCAAATATTAAAGATCGGGATTACATACCGGAACTGCTAATGCCACTGCTGTTTGGATAAAGTAAGGAAGCGTCATAACCTTTGTCAGCTTTGTTTTTGCCCTCTTGGTCCCATCGAGGAGATTTCCCTTCACTTCCTCTCCAAAAGCTACAACAGGAAGTGAAAGGATATGCCTACAAAGTAGCGAACTAGCGCTACAATGGAAAGACTTCCCATCTATTCTTATTCTGGTGAGCACCCAAAATGTGGGATTTTCTTTTCACTTTCCCTGATAATGGTCACCAGGACTAATATAGAGGGTGAATCTCCATAAAGAGGACACATTATAGAGAGACAGCAATACAAACCTGACAGGTGTTCCACTTCCTCTCCACTCTATACAAAATGTAAAAAAAAGTTTGGGCTTCATTTGCCTTTAAAGTCTAATTGATCTTTCAGCTTAAATCAGCTAAATACATTCTATGTGCATCAAAACAAAAAAGGTGATACTTTCCCTCTATACCATCTACATCTACAGCAGTCCATCAGCTGCAAATTGGAAGCCCTGCTCTCTACGTGGATGCAGTGGTCTCTCTGAAGAGGTCTGCCATGCCCCTACCAAGTCAGATCTATAGGTCTGCAATCTGCAAAGCTTATGCTCCCTGCTTATTGGAGAGATCTGGCTGTGACTCAGCTTTGTGTGTGTTTGTGTGTAGACATTTTAGACAACCATGTGCTACCATCCTTGTGGCAACAGTTTGGGGAAGGTCATTTTCCGTTTCATCATGACTGAGCCCCTGTCCACAAAGCCAGGTCCACATAGCCACGGTTTGATAAGTTTGGCATGGAGGAACTACATAAGCCTTGACCTCAATCCTTCTGAACACCTTTAGGTTGAATTGGAACACCAACAGCGAGCCAAGTCTTTTCATCTAACATGTATAACCAACAGTACCACACCTCACCGTTGCTCTTTTGGCTGACTGGGCACAAATTACACTCCAAAACCTTGTGTAAAACATTCTCAGAAGAGTGGAGGCAGTCACAGCTGCAAAGGGAGAAGGGGGTGCAAATCCATATGACTGGCCAAAGTTTTTGAATGGGATGTCAAACAAGCCCATTCAGGTGTGATGGGTGCTTGTCGGCAAACTTTTGGCCAAGTTACATATCAAAAACAATGTATTGGCACTCGGGAAGTACCAAATGCTTTCATTAGCATTAGTTTCACTAGTTGGTAAAGTGCGAAAAAAAATCTAATAGCATTCAAATAGATCAGTGTCAGACTTCTGGTATGGAGACCAGACTCGGTATCTGAAACTGAATTTAATATTCATCATGCATCATCACCTTTACTGATACTATGAATCTTAGTCAAACCAACTGCTCTTGGCCATCAGCCAATACAATACATTATATGATCTGCACATCAATGAGAATATTTACTTCAATCTGTGCTGTGTAGGGAAATATGTCCCCAGGATGGGAACTGTACCGCCAGTTCCAAACATCTGCATGTATACACATCTATTTGTTTAGGATGAGAATAGTTGTTTCCTATACACTTGACAATAAATGTGTTCATGTTTTATAAAAAAAATGTGTTTCTACGCATAATTTGAATTTATATCTGTACATGGAGGCAGTCATGTTTGTTCAATAATTATATACGTAGGCTCTGCTTTGCAGTTCTATACTGTACACAATGCAAGTCTAGGAGTTGCCCAGTTCACTGAAAACAATGCAATGCATGGGTAGATGATGTCATATAATTTGTTAAAGATTCCGGAAAAAATAAAACATACTGAACTTTTCCTTTAAAGTAAAGCAGATGTAGCTCATTCACACGGGCTGACTCAAGGCGTATACGCCCGTGCGACATGCATGCCTGTATCGGAACGCTCCCGGGAGGACAGGTGCTGCGTGAAATTGCCTGTGGTAGCCTGTTCTTCCCTATCGGAGGACGCAGCCGTAAACTGTCATGAGCACACCCGAACTGCGCATCCGTGCGGGTCCGGGTGTCCGTGCTGTTCGGGTGTGCGTATGACAGTGTACGGCCGCATCCTCCCATAGGGAAGGACAGGCTGCCACACACAGCATCTGTCCCTCCTGGGAATGGCCCGATAAGGACATGTACGCCCCGAGATAGCCCCCTGTGAATGACACCTTTAAAAAAAAAACACTTTTTCAAGAAGCAGTCGCCAAAACGTAGCTTTGAGTCCACTATACATCTTCCCACTTTCGTTTGACTTCCTGATAGTGGCAGCATAGGCACTCTTTACCATAAACCAATGCCCGATGACTGAGCAACCTGTCAGCAAACCACGTGAGTGGTGGGGGCTCACGTAACAGGTATGTCTTGGCACCTTTTTGGAACTGATGTCTTGTAAAAATGTTGGTTTACAGGTTCATGTTTTCCCACAGCTTCACGTAAAGCTTCAATAGCCCACAGTGGCAACACAAAGCTTCAAACAATGCAACAGGCCAGGGGTAGGCAAACTCCAGCACTCCGGAACTACAAATCCCAATTGGCACTGCAAGACATAGCCACAGGCATGACTCCCAGAGGCAGCTGGGATTTTAGTTTCACCACAGATGGAGGGCTAGAGTTTGCCTACACCTGCAATAGACAATACAGCCATGACTATAGAGAGCTCACTGAATCTCAAACACAAACCTTCCTGGATATATTATCCTCCGAAAACCTGGTGCAGAGGGAATGTAAAGATTTGGTGTCATCCTTTTTCTCAGAACCAGGAGAAGAAATGGTGTATTTTTTATTAGTTAGTTCATGCAGCAGTGACATCAGGTGCTCACCACGCTCATCTTTTGGAAGACTCTGAAAAGGAATTTAAAAAATATGGTATAAAGATCTCCCATGTTAACCTTTAAAAAGAAGATTTTTACTTTTAATCCTTCCTCTCATCTGTTCATTAACACTTGTGTAGTAGATACCCATGCAATCCCTTCAAAGGAACAGCAAAAGCCTCATACCATTGTAAATTTTGCTAGGTGGAATATACTGTAGCTAAAAGGAGGAGCAGGCATACCCATTTTTACCAGCAGGGGGTGCTACGGGTGCAATCGTCAATAATAAATACTAGTAAATAAATTGTCAATATCCGTTTACAATTTAAAAAAGAAAAAAAACAAAAAAAAAAAGTTGCTGTAGGAGGGGAGTCTTTTTTTTTGTGTAACAGCAGCAACACGCAAGGATTTTCTGCTTCAACAATTTTTTTATGACATTTTAAACAAGAATAAAAAGAAAAAAATCCTTAACAAGATAGAAATAACAGAAAATAGACACCTCAAAATAAAATGTCACAACAAACTGACAGTGTTCCGTTAATGCACTTTTATAAGACAAATTCAAAATGTACATTCTGCATTTAGAATACGATACACAGTAAGAATTGCTAAAGAATTATGAAAGACTAAAGTGAGCCGAGATATACAGTGATAGGGGGGAGCACGTGACAGTGTTCAGTACTTACTGATCAATCGCCAGACCCGATCACTGGAACATGAAGGGGCAATGACTTCACTCACCTGGATAAGCCCTAACACCATTTAACACCAAAGCTCACTCGGAGTGGACTTCTGCAGTGGAAAGGTGGTAAGGGAGCACTGATGAACAAGTATAACTTCCCTAAACGTGTGAAAATGGAGTTGCTCCATTTGAAACATCATGCAGATGAGAAAGTTGAGCGTTAACAAAAACAAAAAAAATAATATAGTAGGCCAATGTGTTGCCAAACTAGACAGAAGAATAGCAAGGACAAGAGTGAAGTAAGGGGGTGAGGAAGATGTGGGGGAGGAGGACAATGGGTCGGTACCTTTAATTGCAATATAGAATCTCGAAGCAAAGCCCAGCAAAGCTGACCTTGAGGTTTGTAGCATCACATTTTCTGGTGCTTCTTCTGTGCTGCTTCAGTCTGCTTGTAAACTTCTATTCAGCTTCATCTCTATCCTTCTTCAGTGGCCTGGTTGTCCAGGAACACAGCCCCTTTATTTCCCAGCCAGGTATGACCACTTCCTTTAAATGATACGTAGAGAGCCCCGCCAACCCCTCCCACCAGGATCCTATTAGACCCTGTGATGACAATGCATAGTATAAAAGCTGAGAAGTCAGGATCAAGTATTTAAAAAATGCATTTTGCTATCTTATTGGGGGATACAAGTGTGGGGATGTTTATATTGGTTGTTTTGAGTTCAGCTTTCAGACATTGCTCTCTCTGCTAGAGACACAAAGCACAGAAGTCTTACTCAGAGCTCCACCTCCTGATGATAAGAGCCAAATAATTCATATTTACCTATGGGTAATGCAGGGAGAGGGATGCAGGGAGGCTTACACCTTTGGGTTATACTGCCGTCTACAGGAGTATTGGACACTGGCAAAAAAAACCTGTAGGCCAGTCCAGGGTATAACTCCTACTACCAGTATGCTTTAGTTTGGTAACAAAGCAGTACCAAGAGCATGATTATATAAACCGAGTGGGAGGAACCTGTGTTCCTTAATGGACTGTAAAACACATTTTTTGGAGTTCTTTAAAGCAGACCTTTACACCCTTTCACTAAAAATAACCTCAGCATGCAGCTCTGCAGGTGGACATGAACTCATCTTACATTCGTTAAACAAGCATATTTTTCTTTTATTTACAATTGATATTTATCCACATCCTGGTCCTCTTGGGCATTAGTGATCTAATGTGACCAAGTGTTGCATCCTGGAAAGGTTATATCATATGCGCTTTGCTGGGAAATCTCATCTGTAATCTTGCGAGATCTCAGGGCAAAGGCATTTTCCTCCCCCAAGATGATGAGCATGGTCACATGTCCTAGTCACATGTGCCAGGGTTCCAGGAAGTATAGGAAGATGTATGAATCTGCCCTTAGAAAAAAGCAGTGCAAATGAGTGGTGGAAAACAGTAAAAAAAAATATTGACAAGCCTACATAAAAGCATAGAACCTGAGGACTGTCTGCAGCTCAAAGAGCTCTCTGTAGGACCATACGCCCAAAGCTTGCATCAATGGAGGCCTTAACATCCACCTGCTAAAACTGAGAGAACGTCTAAACAGAAGACCAGGTGGTGGCTCTGAGAAACAGATGCCTGATGCAGAAAGGCACAAGAAGCACATACTTATCTGGTAGAGTGTGCCTTTGACAGGTAAGGCTGGAACTTTAGCCTTAAACCATTAGGCTTGTATAATGATCAGTCAAAGCCACTGAGAAATGGTGGAATAAGACGCAGTGTGCTGCTTTGCTGCTGACGCAGGCACCTTTTTACAAATCATTCTCTTGGTTTGGATTAAATTACCCAAGAGCTCTGAGTTCAATGGACATTTAGATCAGAGCTTTGCAGCGGAGAACCAGATTCAAATCCCACAGAGACAGAGGGCACTGGACCGGGGGCGGGGACCATATGGTAAACCCCCTGCAGAAAGGTCTTGATCAAAGAGTGGGAAGCCAATGGTCTCTGAAAAGAACAGAAAAAGCAGAGGCATGGCCCTTGATGGTGCCAAATGTTGGTCAAGACCCAACTTTAGGAAAGAGACAATCTGTCCCATGAAGAAACTACTGAGATGAAAGCCCTCACTCACACCTAGCAAAGTAGACCTGCCATGTCTGATGATAGACCTTGCGGGAAGTGAAGTGGACTTTCTAGCCTTGAGCATCGTAGGAACCGCAGCCTCAGAGATGACCTTAAAGCATAGAGGAATAGGAGGAGCACCAAACCACATGGTAAAATAGTCTAAATCACTTTAATGGTTCTCAGCAATAACACATTAAACAGCCAATGCATTTTGACAGTCAACCCACTAACCCTTTTATCCAAGTCAAAGCTTAAAATCAAATCAGGGAAAAACAGGCATTGCTAGACTGATATGTATCCATTACGATAGATCAGGAGGGTCAGTGAGAGAAAGTGCCAACATTAGTGGTGGTAACATTCCTTAATAGATTCAACCATGTAGCTTATCAATCCACATAAATCTGGCTATAGAAAAGGAAGACAAAATACATAAACTGTAAATACAGAAAACACAATCTTTCCAAGTAAATGAGATCACCTGGGAGTTGCTCAAGTCTTCCAGTCTGTCTAACATGTCCGAATTCATAGAGAAATCAATGTTCCAACAGTCTTCAATCCAAGTCTGTAACAGGACGAGCGATCGATGGTAGATTTTTACATTCAAACAGCACTGGTCTGTGTCTTCCCTGGGAATAAATGGAAATATTAATTGTAGATCAACTGACAAAATAGGCCTAGTTTAGCTATGCAACTCCACTGACAATTGCTGATGTCACTGAGATCCAACTGACTACAATAACCAAGACTAAAATCTAATTAGTAGTACCATGGATATTATATGCATTATGTGGCCTGTTATTTACAAATTGGAAAAAGGGCATTGATTGATGAAGAACTCCAGGAAGGGTGTTAAAAATGTACACCCTGCACTGCAAGGGTTAAGAGCTCGTTTTATCTAGAAAATAAAGAAGCGATACTCACCCAAATCTCAGTTCCGCCTCACTGCTAGACCGGTCCCTCTTCTCCCCCAAGGTCCAACGGTCTAAGAACCTGTGACGTCATCACGTCTAATGCAGGTCCATAAGACGTGAGGACACCGCAGGACATACCACAGCTGAAGCGGGGGGCTAGAGAGGTGACAAGTCATTGCCACTGGGCCAAGGATCTGGTAAATATTTCTTCTTTATTTTCGCCCGTAGACCAAAATGAGCACTTAACCCCTGAAGTACAAGGGGCATTTAAAAAAAAAAAATCCTTCTTTAAAAAGAGCCAAGGTCAACTTAAATATTTTTTGTTCTACTCACTTCCCTAAACACAACCTTATATTCTGTCTCGAGGGCTACTGATCTGCGACGAATACTAGACGCCCCAATAATCTGTGGTCTGTGTTCACTTTGGGAGTCTATTAGAGCTTTGCTGTGCCTGTTCCGTTCCTCGCAGTGGTCAGTTATGGAGGAGAAGTGGCCATGGACAGCTCTTAATTTTATTCCTTACACATAAACATGACTTCAGAACGTCAAAGGCACTCAGAGTATTCTCACAAGGCAGTTTATCTGAAATCACCTTCCATATTTATAAATGGTATTCAGCAGAATTCTTTAAAGAAAAAGTCCCGTAACATTTTTTTTATTACAATAGGGCTTAGGGCTCCGCGTTGCAACTGCTCGATTTTGTCTAGGTGCCAAAATAAGAACAAGTTATACTTGCCTAATGCTCTGAGCCGGCTTGTTCTTAGACCGGTACCTAGAGCCCCTCTTCCCCTCCTCTGCAACAATCTATATTGTTCTGTTTCTCATCATAACTATACACAGTGAGGACATTGAGGACGGTTGCAATGCTGCTGTGGAGGAGTAGACAGGCTGGAGGGATCACTGTGACAGCTGGCGGGTTCGGAGCTTTAGGTGAGTATAACACTGTTATTTTTGAGCCTAGACAACACCAAGCACTTATCCCATACAGTGTGGGGGCAGCCCCTCTGCTAGGGTTAAGAAAAGGTTTTGCTGGAGTTCTTCTTTAACTCATGTGGGATGTTGTGTCAGTCTTCCAAAAAGAATGACACTTTTGTAATTCTGCAACATGCATCAGTCACCCACAGATCGGTGATATTTCTAAGGACTGGATTGATAGAAGATAGTAAAATCTATGTACAAAATTATGATTTCCAGCCACAGAATTTCAAAATGAAATATGTTACAGGTTTTAGAAGAAATCGTCATTAGGTGTGTAGCAAATAATTCATTAGTACCTTGGTGCTGTGTTATTAATCCGGTCAATAAGGAATTGCAGCAAATCTTCCTGGGAACAGAAATATCGGAACGTGTAGAGCAACTGCTGCACATAGCCATCCAGAACAGCATTCCTGTAATACAAGTATACACATGGAACACTCTGAATACTGTATACAATATGCTATGCAGTATACATTGGAAGTAGGTATGTCAATGACAGCTGTGACATTTACTCAGCAAGGCATAAAACAAAATGTAACGCATGCCTGGATCAGGATGGTGGCATACAAAAGGGGTTATCGGAAGCTCACTTATCAAGTAACAGTGCTAAGCTGGCAATACACAGTTTGAATTTAATCTGTGGGTGTCCCTGTCGTCACCACGTGACCTAAATTTAAAAAAAAAAAAGAAATCAACAAAGCAGCCAGGAAAATTGTCAGCCGAACAGTTAGGCTGGGTTCACACCTAGGCATTTTTCCGCGCGTTCATACTCGCACGAAAAACGCTCAAACAGGGAAATGCCATTATTTTCAATGTGCATGGTTCCCATCTGGGCGGTTTTCCGCGAGTACGAACGTGCGGGAAACCGCCCTACGCCCAAAGAAGTACATGTACTTCTTTGGGGCGTTTTGGTCGGGCGGTTCCATTGGGATACAGCCAAGTATCCCTCGGAAACGCGCTTTTTTGCGCGCTGTTTTTTTACCGCGAATCGCGGTAAAAAAAAACGTACGATAAACGTGCATATTCAATCCGCCTAGGTGTGAACCCAGCCTTACTCTTTAGGTATTCTGATGGCCACAGGCATTGGCTCTCCGACTACAATAGCCATCAGGGGAGATTCCTTTAGGGCTGCAACAGCTAATCGACATAATCGATTATAATCGATTATTGAAAAAGTTGTCAACTTTTTCAATAATCGATTAATCGGCTTCATCATCCATGCTATTTAACGTGGATAGTGTGGATGGAGGAATTGAGCGATTTGGCTGCCAAATCAGCTGTTGATGAGATCTATGCATTCTCACACAGGACAAAACAGTATACAATTTTCCGGCCATCAGTCCTGATACATGTTCTCCCTTAGTAACCCCTGATGAGGTGCATATTTGTATGAGTACCCAAAAAGTAGATTATTTCTCTAATGTCCCCTCAGCCCTACACTGAATAAAGGTGTATCTGGACTATTCGACGGAGTGTGGCACTTTAATTCACAATCCTGCAATTTGGTATTACAACATGAGGAGACAGTGGAGATCTTCTGGGCTATAGACGCTGCCAATCCGATAGTCAGATCACCTATACCGACTCTTTCACATAATTGGTCGGCCACATCAATAGGATAAACCTAGAAGGCCCGGTGATTCTTCTTCTATTAGACCCCTAGTGTCCCCTTTCTACTTCAAAGAAGCTCTTCAAGCGCAGGTTGTGCTGGATCAGCTTCTTCCCTGGCTTCTTTAGGCAGGGAATGACAGCTGAGAAGCCAGAAGTGATGCAATCAGCGTTGCTTCCGGCTACATTCAGCGTGGACGAGATCAGCGAATGGATGTTTGCTGGTCTCTCTCTCTTTGCTTCCTGCTGACACCCAAGAAGCTAGTTCCAGGCCTGCAGAAGGGGCAGAGGAGCCCGGGAAACAAGGCGGGGGTATCAGGCATGGTGGAGGGCTCTGTCTTCCAGCCCCTGGAAGCGAGCTGGCTGCTGTTTAGCCAGCAGAATACTTCCAGTGTAAAGCCGACAGTCAGCTATACACAGGTAAACAGACTCCCTATAGCTATAGCTGCCAGGTATATCTATTAGAGCTGCAGCTAACGATTATTTTCAAAATCGGTTAGACGATTATTACATTCGATTAATCGGTTAATCGGATAAAAAATAAAATACATTTTAAAAAATGGCTCCAGTGATGGGACTTCTAGTTTGTATTGAGATTGTAGTCCATCACAGGAGCAAGCTTGGAGCGGTGGAAGTAAAAAAGAAAAAGAAAAAAAAATGAAGTGTGGGTAACAATATAGTGACCATGATTTGGATGAATGAAAACCTCCACAGACATATAGCTACCAGGACTCTGTTTACAGGGGCCCGCTGCCAACGACGTATGACATATCTTTGGCAGTGAAAAGGTTAATGTAATATATTGCAGAGGAGGCTGAACTAGTTTTCATTGTTAAGCAAAAGAACATTTTCAGCAAGAGTGAGCGAAGCACAAAGTGTGTTATTGTCGGGATTACCAAGTAAAAAAAAAAAAAAGAAAACGAATGCAACCATCTCATGTTAGGAAGCTGCAACATATTACATTTTGGGGTTTGACACTTTAATGACTCCCAACTGCTGAGTAACCTAAGCTACGGCCCTAATACTTTACTCTTTTCACGTCTGAAAGAGCTGCTGTGAACAATTCCTAGTCGTGTCCTCTGGTTGGGTTATAGATGGCTGTCACCAATCACCTCCCACCTAGGGGTGAAATATGTATTCCACTGACAATGTACAATATTGTATGTCCCTATGTTTTGTCGCTTTGTTTTTATGTGGTCCTCGCTTCCTGTTCCGAGGTCCCCAATACTTCAAGCACAGCCAAGCACTTTGGAGTGACTGGCACTGATCACAGTAAAGTTTCATCCTTCAGAAACGGTTTCCTTGCAGTTATACCACATTAAAGCCACATCTGGAAATAAAGTGGTTTGAATGGAGCTTTAGAAATTGTTGAAGTAGAGGCACACCGAGAATAGAATAAAGACCATACAACACAGAGGATCTGTAGACCACATCAGCTCTTCAGCTGTGTACCCCTTAGCCCTCATTCACATGGGCATAGAAGGAACGCAAGTGCAGAAACATGCGCATCTTTAGAGCTTTGTATTGGCATGTATGAGCGCGTATATACGAGCACGCGGCCCATATGCATTTAACGTGCAGATTCTTTTTAGCATTAGAAACATTATATTCTAAGTGTGTGTACACGCATATGCGCAAACACATGCGTTCATGCGTAAAATATGCATGATTTAGGGCCCCCGAACGCAGTCCTGTTCCATTTTTGTGCACACCCGGCGGAGAGGAAGGAGCATTCGCCGAAAGGTAAGTATACCGAGGAGAGGGGGGGATTATTCAATTTTCACAAATTCACCTGGGAGTGTGGACTTGCCCTTTAAGTGTGTACCTAAGGTATCCAATATGTATTCAAATATATGTGTGCGCAAAACACAAGCATGCACATACTGTTTATGTTACATGTTATGTATAACAAAAAACACAGCTTCTGTATTTCAAGAACAAAGGAAGATGTGTGTGGCATGGTCTCTGTGAAATGTACAAAAGTAACATATGTCAGACAAAGCTGAATAAAAGGAAGATAAAGATTGCGCTCCCTCAACCAGAGAACAATATAAATGCCCATTGTAAAGTGCACCTGAATTGCTAGTAGAGGGCCAGACTTTAACAATATCTCTGTGGAAACTGCTGTCCTTGAACCATTCCTGGATTCCAGCAATTATCAAGAGCACAATAAAATTCATGGTTATCTGCAAATTAAATTCAGCTATCTTTCAACAACGCTTCTACAGCTCTGAAAATGACATTTTTGAATTCCAGATTCACAACAAATTCTAAATTGGCTGCAGAAAGTTCTCTAATACATGAGTACCTGGGTCAGTAACATGCATGAGGAAACTTAAGGGCTTCTTCACACCAAGCGCGGAGCAGATCCAGAGCAGAGCAGGTGCAGACCGGATCAAAACTGCATCCAATGTATTCCTATGGTATTTTGAGCTCCAGTTCACATCGCAGCGTGCAGATCCAGAGCAGATCCAGAGCAGGTGAAAAAACTGCGGCCAGCCCTATTTTACCTGCTCTGGAACGCATCAAAAACGCATGCAATACGCAAAAACGCATGCAAGTGCCTGAAAGCCCATGTTAAACTTAAAAACATTTTTTTTTTAACCAAAAACGGCCCGAAATGCATCAAAAACGCGGCAAAACCCGCTGCACTGCGTGTGCAGAAACCTGACCGGATCTGCTCTGCATTTGGTGTGAACAAGGCCTTAGACATAACAGCAGATGTATACAAAAAAAAAACAGCAGGAAAATGTCCCTAAAAGATATTCATAACTAAAACAAAACGAGAACACTGCTAGATGGATAATAAAGCACCTTTGTCAGATCAAGCATCAATCGGGGCCTTTCCTATTTGCACACATCTTTCAAATTGTAGCTCTGTAGAACAAGACCTCGCATAGCTAGGCCTTACTAGATGCCATTATTGAAGTTTCCTTTACAAGAAACAATAATGGCTTATTACAAGCGGGGGGGTCATTTAAGTTACGACTCGAAAATGACTTGCTGTATCTATAACAGAAATGATTAGGGAGCAGATTTCATTTGTAACTTAAAGCAAACCTGCAGTAGAGGTACGCAAGCAATCCAAGAGGTGTTCCAGCCTGCAGATTTTTGGATGTGTTGTCCCGGCTATGACCTCTGTCATTGTATATTAGAAGGAAGGCGTCATCCTCTGAAGAGCTCAGCGACTTTTGACTTGCAATGTTTGCCACTGTAGGAAGGTCACGTGGCTCAACTCCCCACTGTTCTGCATAAGAAACCTTCATGTATAAAGAAGATGGTTAGAGTCATGATTATTTATTTATTACAGCGCTGACAATATACATTGGGGAGAATTTATCAAAACTGGAGCAGACGAAACCTGGAGAAGCTGTGCATGGTAACCAATCAGCTTCTCTTTCCAGTTCGCTCAGGTATGATTTGAAAATGAAAAAAAGAGAAGCTGATTGGTTGCCATGCACAGCTGCTCCAGTGTTTTGTCTGTTCCGGTTTTGATAAATTCCCCTCACAGTGCTTTACATAGTGCACATTCAGTTGCAGCCCTCATGGACCTTACAGTCCAAGGTTCCTATCAGGGGCGGACTGACCATTCGGGCAGTCGGGCACGGACCGAGGGCCCACGGCCATCAGGGGGCCCGTCATCTCGCCGCTGCCAGACCCGCCCGCATCCACAAGCGCACCTCCTTCGCGCCTTAAGCTCACTGCCCGCCCACATCCACGATCGGCGCAGGGAGAAGAAGAAGTAAGGAGGAGCAGGCGTGGGGGGATGACAGCTGCCGACAGACCTGATCTCAGAAGCAAGTTGCTGGAAACACAGCACTGACGAGGCATCCCTACACTACCAGTGTGCTTTAATTTTCCTCAACCGATAAATTTCTCTACCGCGTCTCTTCCAGGTGCGCATGTCATGAAAACAGCTAATTCGGATGACTCGGCCCCACTTGAAGTGACACAGTGGAGAAAATTTATAGGATCGAGAAAAATTATAGAACACTGACTTTTACACTGTCAGGCCCCTCCCACTAACCTCCCACAGCTCACAGCCCAAAAGCATGGACAGCCAGTCCCCCGGCAATTCATCTTAGTGAATTGGCCCACTATTTTAAAAATAATATGGAGAAACAATTTCTGTGACACAAGAATGTCTATGCAGGTGGGGCGTGTGGGAGGAACTTGTATATGGGCGGAGCACAAGGGGGCCCCATAATCTTGTATTGCCCGGGGGCCCCATGTGTTGTCAGTCCGCCCCTGGTTCCTATCCTATCTCACATGCATACATACAGGGCCGATTTAGAGATGAGCCAATTAACATTCCAGCATGTGTTTGGAGTGTGGGAGGAAACCGACGCACGCACGGGGAGAATCATGCAAACTCCTGGTGTCCAGACTGGGATTTGAACCAGGGACCCCTGGTACGGCATGGCTAATTACTACCCTACTGAGCTGCCCAGATTGATAACCATACTAAGCATTGAGGATCTCAGTATCAGATTTCCTACAACATTCCATAAATTACTATTCATTGAGAAAGCAATACATTTAGAATGTCTTTTTAGAATACTAGGGCAGGGGAATCTCTGGAGTTAGGTAGGAGTTTGAATATCGTCAATGGGGGAATATGCTCCTTGTTAGGGTTCTATTCAGCTGCCAGCTGAGACACTTGGGAGGGAACAGACGGTTTAGGTGAGGTGCATGATTATTAGTGACAGGTCTGGGAGTGATCGAGGACTGGCAATGGTCTCCAGACCCTTGGAATATTATCTACCAATCTATAGAAGGCCTAAGAGAGATTTCTGGTTTCTAGGCTGCACCGATTCATTCCTGGACAGAACATCTCCCGACAAAGATTTATAAATACACTCATACACATACTGTGCACTGCAAATTTCCAACTGTTTAGATTCACCAATTACTCTGGAAAACGTTTGCCAGCAAAGCATCTGGAATGCCCTTCCGAACTTTTACCACCATCCACTTATTTATGGAATATCAGTCTTGGGGTAGACTGGCCCTTAAAGGCCATACCTGAGCTTAGTAAAAAATGTGAAATTGAGCTAAACATAATGCAATTTCCCAGATTGAAACAGAAAAAACACTGTCCAGTTGCTAGAAAACCAGGCTCACTTTTTATATGCAGACTGATATCATAACATGATTACCTGGAGTAATTTTTTGGCCAGTTCCAGGAACTGCACCTTGGACTTCATTTCTTCTGAATGACCTTTAAGCTTGAGTAACAATTCTTTTACATCCGAACCTGCCAAAGAAATAAAAAAATTGTTAACAGTATTTCCCAAACCTGTCCCGAAGTCCCTGAAACACTGCAAGCCTTAGAAGTAGCCACACATGGTGGAGAAAACACTATATAGTTACCCAAGTGAACATCCAAAAAAACATGAACTGCTGATAGGACATGTGGACAGATTTGAGAAGAACATAATTCTAACAATTCTAACATTACATTCTAACCTTGGATGAGTAGAGAAGGTGAATATATGGGGGCTTCACAGGTGAAAAATGAGTTTACTTTAAGATGGGAAAAAAAATTAAAAAATCAATCATTCGCCCGATAAAAAATAACCAAAAAAGCCCAACTCTTTGGACCCCATTCACACTGAGCAATTCGCAGCGCAATTTCAGCTCAAAAATCGCTCAAACATCAGCTCAATGTAACTCGTCTAATGCATTTCAATGGAGCTGTTCACATCTCAGAGCTCAATGTCGCTGATTACGTGTGGCGTCATCAGTTGTCACTGCAGCACCCATCTGAGGATCACAAGGTTTTTCAGTCAGGAGTCCAATGGGACTTCTATGTGATCACCTAATCTCCCTCCCAACGTCCTGAGACTAGCAGTCAGAGGCAACAGTGCCTTAGATCTCATACTACAGCTATACCACTATGAGGTTGTAGGCACACTCACACATCAGGAAGTGATCTGCTATTTTTTGGAAGGAAGTCCAGATAAAAGGTAGTGCTTAGTCACAATTAGCATTAGCATGTTGCCTCTAACATACCAAATATTCACTTTTTCAGTTCAGGTCCACCTTAATTAACTCTTACATGGCCTTATTGTCACATCACTTGCACGTCACATTTGGTCACCCCCAAGCATACAGCTATGAACTCTAGTATACAGTATATCACATAACCAGCCCCCTCCTAATTGACATGTAGCAGGAAGTATGACGATTAAATATATCATAACCTATGTATCAGGTCTGAGTAACTTTCAGTTCGGGCCTAACACAGGCAATTACCACAGTCAACAAACTTCTTTTACCTTTATTTCGCCTTCCCTTCTGCATCAGATTCTGGTAGAGCTTAATGGTCTTCCTGTAATTCTTTGTTTCAATCATAAGCTGCTGTTCGAGTTCCTGGGGAGAACAATTGTATTTTCGGTTTTCAGGTTAACGTTTAATACGGCTGTAAAGGATTTACTATCTGTAAAAACCTTTTTACTGTTTATAGTCCAGTAATAAATGCCTGTATAGAAAAATACATGTAATACACCAGCTAATACTGACCTGTAACAAGCATGCAGCCAGTATAGTCCAAATGAAGTGATTTTCCTGGGGGTCTCATGCTCAACACTGAATTCAAAGTGTATATATAGCCTTTTTAAAGAAGAACTCCAGGATATTTTTTTTATTAACCCTTGCAGTGGGGCTACCCCCACACTGCAAGGGTTAAGTGCTCTTTTGTATCTAGGTGCTAAAATAACAAAGTTATACTCACCTGAATCTATTTTTATTTTTTATGGGGCCTGTTTATACCTATACATTGTGCAGCAGTGTGACTTTGCAAAAGGCGTTTCTTTTGGTACCACAGTGCATTTCTGGTCCCATAGACTTCAACAGGAAGGCATGATCACACATGAAACATTTTATGATTTTTTTTAAACACAGGACAACAAGCCCCCGCCCCCTTGCAACCTATACTTTATTTCACCTTCATTGGCCAACAACGCACAAGTCCTGTTTACACTTGCACATCTACAAATTCATGCGTTTTTGTAGCACATTTTTGAGTGCTTGATACATGTTTTTGATGCACTGTAATGTGTTTTCTTGCATTTTCAAACTCCTTGCATTTTTTTTTTTTTTTTAATTTTGGCCAATGACTAGCAATATCTGCTGTAATATTTCAATTCAGCCTGATTAGAGTAGATGTTGCTAGGAGGAGGAGACTGGTTGCTATGTGCAAAAACACACTGAGACGCATGTATGTGCACATCCATTAAAGTCTACGAGGCCAAAACGCCAATGTAGCACCAAAATAAGCACCCACACCTTTTTCCAAGTCACACGACAGGCCAAGGCATAGGGGTAAACAGGCACCATAGAAAATAATGGCGTTCCCCTTGGCATGTGACAGCCAAAAGCGGGACAAATCGCACAGGTGTGAATGGGAACCGATGCATAAAAAGCAACGTTAAACACACTTAAAAGCCTATAAAAAGTAGATATGCGAGTGTGAATAGAGAGTTACTTTCAGCACTGGTGACAATGGTTAGAATAGAGGGGTGAATCTCCCCCAGTGGAAACCCAGATAGCAATAAGGACCTGAGAGAGTTTCTGATCCCTCATACAAACACTTTAAGGTGATACAGGTTGAGGAGTGGGACTCCATTGCTTTCCTTTTTAAAAAAAGGAAGAGCAGAGAGATCGTTGTTGCAGCATTCCCCAGAAATATGAAAAGTCTGTGGGTGAGTCAACCAAGCAGAAGCTGAATTCAGTTAATACATTACAACTGCAATACATTTCTAAGCCAAGTTGGACAAACTGCAAAATACGGTATTTTTTATTTTTATGCCAAAACATGATATGATATAAGCAAGGACAGCATTGTTAGCATTGTGAACATTACATTTGCAACCTTACCAGCCGTTTGGCTTCTATGCTCTTCGAACATTTATCCTTCTGCCTCCCAAGGACGCTGACATAGTGCTGGACATCAGGATCAAACAACTCGGACCCGTAAAATGCACTGGACCAGCCGGAACCACACTTGTACACCTCGGACGGACAGACGGACATGTTCTCCCGCTGATTCAGCGACGACGACTCACTGGCATCTTCATTCTCTTCAGTGAAATCGGGACTCGCACACAAACTGTTACAATCGGAGAGGACTCTGTACATGAATTCCTCCTCATTCTCTGCTGGCGCTCGAGGGGTTTGTGGTTGATGATCCTTTTCGGTGGTCTGTGGTTGGAAATCAGTCATATCTATCTCATCAAATGAAGTGTGAATCTCCGTGCCAGCCGCCACCTGCGTCTCGGAACCTTTAAAAGGCAAGACGGAAAGGTCATGTGTAGGAGATATCACACTGCGTTTTCTTGAAAGGCCCAAAATGCCACTGAATTACACATTAAACACTTGTCACAGAGATTCTAAACATGTCAGAATATGAAGTGTACACAAAGCTCCTTAAAAGGGAAAGTAAAGTATTACTGGTTTTAGATAAACATGTACAAGATCAGCTTAATGTAAATAAATTCTCACAATGCAAGGTCTATGGGTCAGCTGATATCTAATCCACCTGTTAAACACATATCAGAAGAAAATCTACCTTTTCTCTTGTGGCAACTGGACAAACTACATGCAATACAATACCAAAATTAACACGCAAGAATGTACAAAAAGTCGCACAAAAATTGTACTTTAATGCTCAATTAACTCTTAAATTGGGAAGACAACATAACCCTGATGTAACCACATAAAAACACAAAATAGTAGAACCTGGGGTGGACCAAATTTCCTTTTCAGCATATCACAGCTGAGTAGGCCAAGAGAAGAAAATGTGATGCAAAAGGAGCTTCCCCTTTTTCACTGTGCATCATGTAATAGATGGCCAGACCAGCCTCTCTCAACCAGAGTTTCATGGGACCCTGGGGTCCCTCCAGAGATTGTTCGGGGTCCCTTGAGCAATTAACAATTTCGGCCTCTCAGAGAGTTAACCGCTGACACCAATGAACTTTTAAGCCATCTCTAAGAAAGGGGCATTCTTCCCAATGAGCACCAATGTAGGAAACAGTGTTCTCCACTAACCACCACCAGTGTAAAATGACCCTTCTCCACTGACCACCAATGTAAGGGGGGCCTTCTCCAATGACCAACAATGTAAGGGGGCACTTCTCCACTGACCAACAATGTAAGGGGGCACTTCTCCACTGACCAACAATCTAAGATGTCTCTTCTCCACTAACCACCAATGTAAAATTACCCTTCTCCACTGGCCACCAATGTAAGAGGCCCTTCGCGGCTGACCACCAATGTGCGGGGGGCCTTCTCCACTGACCACCAATTTAAGGCACTACATTTTTTTGCTGTGGTTTTTTTTCAGCTGTTACTACGATTCCTTTCATTGCATTGTTATTACTGTAAATAATTTTTTCAGAACAGCTTCAGGTGTCAAAAAGTATTCCACATTCCTTATTCTTTTAGTTATTCCTATATATATCATCCTACTGTTTACACGAACGTACCATGGGTTGGTTGTAGATACAGTAATTATTAGCAGGGGCTTCCTGAGACCTGAAAATTACTATGATGGTGCCTTCATACTAAAAAGCTTGAGAAAGGCTGCTATAGACACAATTTTTTTAGGATGTCATAACCTGGATTGCATGGATGGTAAAAAGGATAACTTCTTATACTATGGTGAAGGTCACTGCTGAGCTCTGAGCTAGTGGCCAGGTTGGTATGGTGATCTAAAGGCTTTAGTGTTTTCTGAGTCAAGTCAACAGATATACAGATAAGCAGTTGTCACATCACTTGCTACATGCTTGTTCTGGTTCATTACACCATAAAACACAATAAAGGACTGGTCGAGGGCTGCTACACAAACCATAATTCAGGCTACTGTTGCACCGAGTATGTCTTCTTCTTCCGGTTTTTGTAACAAATTCTAGATTTCAGGTACAATAGGTTGTTAGCCCCTAGAGTATCCTATCCTTGTGATGGGGCTGCCATCTTAGATATAGCTGGCGAGGAATATCATTTCATAATACAGCAAAGTATGCCATACCATTTGATTTCTCCATACCTGTCAAGCTGTTTATCACAGGAGTCCCCTCATCTGCTGTAGAGGGCGGATGCTGTGGCTTGACCTCTTGTTCTGTAATACTTGGTGTGGCTCTGGTCTTGTCTTCATCCCCATCTGCTAGGTTTATCTGCTCATTTGCAGACGTTTCATGTTTTCTGTGTTTTTTGCCTTTCTTCTGGCCTAACCTTTTCAGAAGCTGTGCGGGGCTACTGTCCTGAGAAGGATCAATCATCGATTTTCTGTGAAATGGTAAAGAGGCAGCCAACTGTGAGCAGAACAGTGCAAGACATTTGTTATCACCACTACTTGACTCAGAACAAGGGAGGTCCATTTATTGTAAACAATTTCATCTCACGTTATTTATTGGGCATGTTTAGTGCCAGATGCAGAACTCTAGGCAGATACAAAAGACACAAATGAATGCAGCTCTGTAATCATGAATACATCATATATATATATATACATATATTTTTTTTTTAAAAAGGTGAGCAGTCTAAGTACTTGAATTTGACCGGTTATCAGCCTCTTGTTGTTCCTAAAGAGCAGGGCTGGAGTATTAGAGGAGGCAGCAGCACAAGGAGCCAATCAGTTCATGTGCTGACCAGAAGTATGTTGAGGGGAGGAGAAAACAGAGTGATAGACAGACACGCTAATCACTGTGCTGCTTCTCCTTTTACTGTCCAGTCACAGGTTGGGACGGGTCCAGTAGCCCTGGACTCAGAGGAAGCGGGTTGAATGATGCTGGTCATCAGACTGAGGAGATCTAGTGGCAGAAAAAAGTACTGCAGGAGAAATCTTTGACAGTGAACATTAAAGCAATTGAGTTTTGTTTTTGTTTATATTTTAATGGAATTTTTATTTTGTTTTAGTATTTGGGCTGTAGTTCTGCATTAAATCTGCAAACATTTAAACAGGGACATCCCTATAATGAGGCAGCCTAAGGCTGTTGCCTCAGACGGCATTTTGTGGAGGGGTGGCAGGCAGAGCGGCATGGGTGCTCTGCTGTACAACGTTTTTAGTATGCCTGCCACCCCCCACTTTCCAGCCAGAACGTCCCAAATTGCTGAGAGGTGGGTGAGGAGATGTGTAAGGGTCATACACATCTGTCAACTCAGCTCTTAGTAACCTGGGACACTCTTAAGGTGTCCTGCCAAGCTCCTGGCAACCAGTGATGTCACTGGATATCAGGAGCTCCGCAGGATGCCGCACCCCCCTGATAGCTAGGGACGCCCCTCCATTTAAAACAAAACTAAATACAAGGGAATTGTAAAAAAATGACGTACAGATATAATGTACGAAACCTATGCACAGAGGAGGATGAAGCGGCTGGAGTTTATTGCTGGCAATAGGACACAGAAACCAGCCAATCTCATGTAAGGAAAAATTTAAAGGACAGCTCTCTCATCATGGCTTTCCCATCGGATCCACTGTGTGCATGGTGAAAGAAACGTCCAGTGTTTCTAACAAAGCTGCATTGCATTTCCTTTCTAAATGATAGCAACATGGGGTAAGTAGCAACGGCAACGTGTGGCACCTTATCGCAACCTCCATCACATCACGCTAGTTTCGTGTACCTAGACTGATGCAGCACTCCTTCAAATTTGTTACTGTGGATTACTCATTTTTGTTCAGTTCTCTGTACTAAGGAATACAGATTGTTACCTTGCAAGTACTATTTGTGTTGTTTGCAGGGCACACACTTTTAACCCCATGCAATGTTTGACTTCCACAAGAAAAGCACATCTGTCTGCCAGATACTGGATTAGGTTGAAGCTAAACACAATGCATATGTATAAAAAAAAAAAAATTCCCCTGTGCAGGAGTACTGTGCACCAGACAGGGAGAAGCAGCATGGGGGGATAATCTGTTACCCTGCATTAGAAAGTAACAAACTGACTGGAAAAGAGAGCAGGGGGACAACTACATCAGTCTGCTGCTGCTCCAAGCTGTTGTTGCTGACAAAACTGTGTTGCTTAAAGCAGAACTTTACCCATATCTTTGAAATAACAACAAATACACCTTTAGCAATGACAATCTACAAACAGATACTGCTAGAGAATTCCCGGCTTTGTATTCTTTGCAGACCTTATTTCTCTTTTCTGCCCCAGTCTTCTCACAGTGGCCACTTTTACTAAGGGCAGATTAAAATATCTAAACTTTACTTCCTGGAACTCTGGTACGTGTGACTAGGGCATGTACCATGAAGATCATCTCAGGGGAGGAAAATTCCTTTCACTGAGATCTTGTGATACTACAGATGAGATTTCCCAGCAATGTCCTACCCATGTAATCTTCCCAGAATGCAATCCTTAGGCACAGATAACATCACTAATGCCCAAGAGGACCAGGAAGTGGAAAAACAGCAATTGTACGTAAAAGAAAAATATATTTGTTTAACTAATGAATGTAAGATGATTTCATATTAGTGGGGAGAGCTGCAGGCTGGGGTGATTTTTTAGTGAAAGGAGGTAAAGGTCCACATTAACTACAGCAGAGAAAAATCAGGTCACTGGGATGGCTGTGCGGTTTGCTCAGGACTGGATAGACAGAAATACAAACCCACAGGCAGAACAGCTCCCATATAAACAATGTATTTACCTGTCAATCCTAGAGTACGTTTTAATATTCTAGTAGACTCAAAGTCTATGAAGTTCTGGGATAAAGCAACACAGAATTGGGGTATGCAATGAATGTAATGTTTACACATTTGGAACTCCTATAAAAGTATGTGAAGTAAAGAGAAGAGCAGTGACACCTTTGATATTAAATCAGCCACCCTATCCAATCATCATTTGCCAACCAGTGATACAATATCCCAGAGGTACTTCTATTGGGTTCAGAAAGCATTTCTTTATAACAATTTGGAGGAGTTTTGGCAAATAACACATCATCCATAAGATAGATACAATTACATATGTTTAATTCTCAGAAAACATAATGAGGGGCAGCTAGGCAATGCTAATCAGGAGCAGTTAGATAGATTTACTATCAAAATTGCTGCTTGATTGATACAATTCCTTCCTCAGCTGATCTACTGCGACAGAACAAAACCTGCCCCTGACCATTTCTTAATTGTGCGTTGGTTTTCAGTGAAACTCTGACCCATCTACACTGCTAAAAATGCTGCACCTCTGAAAAACCATCCTATATGGCTGCCCAGTATTGCAGAGGTAAAAAATGTCACATATACTTTACTAAATAAGAGGCAGCCTGATTTGCAATGGATCTATATCTACAGTTGTGAATAATTTGCCTGGCAAGTGTCCCTCTATGGATTGCCTGGAAAAAACAGACGCACGTTAGGGGTACCAGGAATAAATAAACCCGGCATGTCACGGGATACTTGTGAGAAATGGACTCAGCTCAGGGCTATTTGGAAACCAAATGTTTATGTAAAGAAGTATATCCTTTAAAGAAGAACTCTGGGGCAAAACATTTTTTAAAAAAATGTTAAACCTTGAATTGAGGCTACGGCCGCACTATAAAAGGTAAGTGCTCGACATTTTTTTTATATAGATATATATCTATATAGCTCTATATATTTTTTTTTTACATATCCGAACCTCAGATCTGGCTGTGACAGTGCTCTTCCCGGCCTGTCTCCTCCTCAGCTGCAGTGTCCCTGTGGCGTCCTCATGTCCTATACACTGAATACAATGTGAGGACTCAAAGATCCTTAGACTGCTGCAGCAGAGGGGAAGAAAGGCTCCGAGGATCAGGTGAATAACTTTTTTTTAAAACCTAGACACGAATGAACACCTAACCCTTGTAACATGGGGGTAGCCTCACAGGAAGGGTTAAAAGGAGAACTATGGGGTCAGTGTTTTTCCCCATAGTTCTATTTAGGTTAACGGGAGGACACAAACTAGCGTCCTCCTCTTACCCTAAGCTCAGTATACCACGAGCTACAGCTCGCGGTATACTGAGACGCCGCACCTGGAGCGGATCCCGACGTAGATGATGGGATCCGCCCAGCTGCGTGAGTGACAGCTGGCTCTGCCTACCTAGAGGCAGAGCCAGCTGTACCCGCCCCCTCCCCCGTCCGTTCCGCCAGTCAGCGCTGGCAGATCGGAGCGGGGAGAGGGGAATCCAGCCCCTCCCCCTGTCACGGCAGAGAGCCGTGACAGGATCGAGAGGTGAGGGAACCCGGTATGTGTTCCCTCACCTCCCGATCTACTGAGCCGACCTGTGACAGTCTCATTGTCACAGGTCGGCTTAGAACTATGAGGTGAGTGGAAATCACTCATCTCATAGTTCTCCTTTAAGATTTATTTTTTTCCCCCCAGAGTTCTGCTTTCATATACTGTAGAATATATGCCACATGACTTTCATGCAGATGTATTTTGTAAAACAAGTTTAAACTTTTTATTTTTCTCCAGTTTATGCGACTCTTTACAGAGATCTTTTTTTTTGCCAAAAGTGTTTCCAACTCATTTGAAGTAATTAATTCTTCTATTGTCTACACTAATTGGAATATAATCCGAAAGTTCCAAAAATAATGGAGGTTAGAATACATCTGCTGTTCAACATGGAGGCATACAAAACATGTACCTGGTAGGAGGTGGAGATTTCCCATTGATAATCTTGTACAGATTTCCCAGAAGACTGTCTTCCCAATAGAGGTCGCAGAACTTCTCACATACTGCACTGCAGAACGTAGCATGCTGAAGACCTTTCAAGGCAAAAATATATTCCCCTGCACAGGAAACAAAAACACGAACTTGTCAGTGGATAAATTAGATATAAAGTTGTAAAATTCATATTTTTATAAGAGGTGAATCTGAAACATGTTCGAAGTATCGATCTCTTAAAAAATGTGTTGGTAGGGACACTTGAACAAGATGCACGAGAATAGGTTTCAACTCCAAATTTTTGAAAGCTACTTGGAGGTTAAAGCGACACGAAACTCAGGAGTTACATCTGAAAAATGCATTCAAGTACCTTAAAGTGACATTAAGAAAAAAAAAAGGTAAAAATGTTTTCCCTCCCCCCAATGTTAATTAAAGCACTTACCTGTTTCTTAATCCGACCTCCTTCTTCTCTCCTGTCATTTTCATCTGTCCCTCCAGCGCTGCTGCGAGTCACCGATCCAGAGCCGACTCCTCTGTCCTTGCTGGCACTTCCTGTCCCATGGTGTCTGCATGCGGGTGCACGCCTCCATATACTTACCTTGTGTCTCTCCTCGTCTCCCGGCCGAAAATGTGAACTGGGCATGCGCCCGCCCCAAGATGCTTTGTGGCCGCCCGAGAATTTTCACATTTTCAGATGGTAGCGCACGGGGAAGACACAGGTAAGTATTAAACTATTTTAAAGCGGGGTTTTTTTTAATTTACACTTTTTGCATATATCTACTGCTTGCTGCAGTAGATATATGCAAAAACATTGGAGGCTTTATTAACCCTTTAACTATTAACAAAAATGCAGCTTATTTGTGTATCACTCAGCTGTAGTACTTCAAATCATCTCTGAATTGGTGCGACACTGTCCTTACTTCTGGAGGGTGGCTACTTTTGTTCCCCATGGTCCCCCTGTGTGTAGTAAAGTAGTGACCGCTCCAAGCTCGCTCCCGGGATGGACTACAATTTCACGTTTAGTTTACTAATTTGTATTGAGATTGTAGTCCATCCCAGGAGCGAGCTTGGAGCGTTGACTACTTTACTATATACACACAGGGACTATGGGGAACAAAAGTAGCCACCCTCCAGAAGGAAGGACAGTATCAGCACCAATTCAGAGATGATTTGAAGATCTACAGATGAGTGATACACAAATAAGAAACATTTAAAAAAAAAAGTTAGGGTACTTGAATGTATTTTTAGGATGCTTCTGCCTCTGGGAGTCTTGCCTGTAATGGTCAGTCTTGCAATGCGTTATGGGACTTGTAGTTCCACAACAGCTGGGATTTCTTCAATCAGTTGTAACAGTTTGTTCCTCGCTGTGATTATTTTTAGGGTCTTTATTTTCATTTCTTCACATAATAAGGACAGGGGATAAGTTCCAGACAATCAGCATCTGGCCTGAACACTCGTAGTCTCCACTGAGAGCTCTTGTGACAAGGTGACAACATAGGAGAGAAACTGAGATACAGGGACAAAGCGCCGTCACCCTAAAATAGGGATGTGTCTAAACAAGGACCTTTATGGCAGAATTGCTACATATTATTTTAACAGATTTATACTGTATACACCCATCAGCCATAACATTATGACCACTGAGAGGTGAAGTGAAGAACATTGATTATCTCATTACAATGGCACCTGGAAGTGGGTGGAATATATTAGGCAACAAGTGAACATTTTGTCCCTGAAGTTGATGTGTTGGAAGCAGAAAATGTACAATGTAAGGATTCGAACAACTTTGACAAGGACCAATGTGTGATGACTAGATGACTGGGTCAGAGCAGCAGCTCCAAAACTGCACCTCTTGTCAGATGTTCCCGGTCAGCTGTGGTGAGGACCGACCAAAAGTGGTCCAAGGAAGGAAAACCGGTGAACCGGGTTATGGGCGGGCAAGGCTCATTGATGCACGTGGGGAGCAAGGCTGGCTCGTGTAGAGCGATCCAATAGAAGAGCTACTGTATCTCAGATTGCTGAAAATGTTAATGTTGGTTCCGACAGAAAGGTGTCTGAACATGCAGTACATCACAGTTTGTTGCGAGTGGGGCTGCGCAGCTGTAGACCGGTCTGGGTGCTCATGCCGACACTTGTCCCCCACCAAAATCGCCTACAATGGCCACATGAGCATCACAACAGGACCACAGAGTAATGAAAGAAGGTGGCCCGGTCTGATGAATCACATTTTCTTTTACATGTGGATTACTGGGTGCGTGTGCATCACGTATCTGAGGAAGAAATGGGCAATGTTCTGCTGGAAAACCTTGGGTCCTGCCATTCATGTGGATGTTACTTTGACATGTACCACCTACCTAAACATTGTTGCTGATCAAGTACACCCCTTCATGGAAAACAATATTTCCTGGCCTCTTTCAACAGGATAATGCGACCTGCCGCACTGCAAAAATGGTTCAAGAATGATTTGAGGAACACAACAACGAGCTCAAGGTGTTTACGCGGCCTCTAAATTCTCCAGATCTCAACCTAATCGAGCCTCTATGTTGTGTGCTAGAAGAACAAGTCCAATTCATGGAGGCCCCACCTTGCAACTTACAAGATTGAAAGAATCTGCTACTGACGGCTTGGTGCCAGATACCACGGCACACCTTCAGAGCTCTAGTGGAGTCCTTGCCTCAATGGGTCAGGGCTGTTTTGGTGGCAAAAGGGGACCTATTTAATATTAGGCAGGTGGCCAAACTATGGCTAAAAAGTTTTAAACATTACTTTTGATGTTACTTTACATATCCATGCTTATTGGAGATCTTAGTAATTGGGGATGTCAGCGATTGAGTTTACATAACATTAAGTCAAATAAAACAAAATGATATGCGAGCTAGGCTACTTTTACTACAAGCAAAGCAGCTTTAACCACTTCAAGACCAGGTGTTTAGACCCCCTTCTTGTCCAGGCCATTTTTCAGTATTCAGCGCTGCGATACTTTGACATTTATTCCATCATGCAACGCTGTACTGAAATTAATTTTATACCATTTTTTGGGGACAGATAGAGCTTTCTTTTGGTGGTATTTAATCACCACTGGGGTTTTATTTTTTACTATAATTAGGAACTCTACAGCCGGCGGATCGCTTGTATGTTAACAGGCACCACTGCCTGTGTTTAAATTGCGGCTATTTTCCGCGCGCGCCGCTGCGAGGGGGCGTATCTGAGCGGACGTCAAAAGACGCCCGCTCAGATCTAGAGAGCTCCGGGCCGGCCCGGAGGCAGTTAATATAATGTAAACTAAACATGAATACAGTGCAACTCATCAGCACAGCACCAAATAAAATATTAGACAGCAATGTTCTCAATAAGTAAAGCTCAGCAGTTTGCCTTAAAAACCAAGCGGCGAATGACTGTTGTGTGATATACAGTATTTAATCAGCCTGTCATACCGAAAAGATAAAACGTACCCAGATATTACACTGAACAAATGTGTTTGGGAGTCCCAAACCAAAGTGACACACGGTGCCCAAAGTGAAATCTATTGTTTTTTAATAACAATTCACTCAATAATTCTTCTGTAGAAAATTTCACCACTGAATATATGGATTCTCATAAAAACATGGTGTAATAAAGCATGTTTCGTCTTGCTTGGCTCACAAGAGACTGATTCAGTCTTTTGTACTCCGCAGAACGACTGTGCGGTGATTAAAACAGGAAGAAAAAACACCGATAATTAAATACACAAAAATAAATCTGCAGCAACATGTCGGTATAAGCAGCTCTCCAGCTGCCTCCCTTTTGGGGCAATGTTTTCCCAGAGAAATTATATTACTAATTTAAAGCACACATTTTAGCCTTGTTTTTAATGGAGAATCCAGTAAATATGTGACGGAAGTGTATTGGCTTAAACCCCAAATATACTTCCAGTTAAAATCAACTAAATGTATTCCAGGGGCATTGAAACAAAATGTGTTCAAAGTCTTACAGTTCATTTTCTTTAGAAAACAGCCACTGGCTGAGTAGAAAAACCTTTCCCCTGCCAGGATGCTGCAGATAAGGATCCTTTCTCTGTGTGGAAGCAGTGGTCTCTATGCAGAGATCCAACACTACCCAGCCTCAGTCAGGGACAAGGGTCCTTTTCTACAGGGGACAGGTTTATCTACTTAAGCTGACCATATAATACTCGAATTTCAGCTCGACCCAGCTTGATAAAAATTGATTATTCATGGATGTTCATTACTTTGTCATTTTTTGTAATGAGCAATCGCCACAGGTGGTAGATGTAGCAGAAAGGGCCCAGGTTTGTCTGGCAGGGCAATACGGGTGACCATACATCCAAGCGAATTGGGAGAATTACCATTATGACCATATGTGCAGAAAGGTGCCTGGTTGACCACAGCCCCACCAGCAGAGGTGTGAAATGGAGGGGTATAGATTTGCTATCTTTGAAGGAACCCTATACCTGCTAGTCAATAACTTATAACATGTTTCTTGTGTCCGTGAATCTATTGAGGTAGAATAGATTACTTTGGGTAGGTGGAGTGATCTGGGCGCTGGTAAGGGCAAACTTTAAACTTTAAATTTCCCACTCCGTGAGAAACAGCAACTTTATAATAGGAATATCAGTCTAGGTGGAGGATTAGACTGGCATAATGTGAGTCAGTGAAGATAATGGGCGTATTAAGGAAGCTCGAGATGCAGAAAAAGTGCCTGAGCTGTCCATGAGGCCAAGCATCCATGGGAAAATTTCCATAATGTTACCGCAGATCAGAGAGCAGGAGACCTTCACCATCTCTAAGAAACTTGCCACGGCTAGTGTCTCCCCTGCTGCCCATGGAAGAAGGTGATTTGTTCCCCTGGAAAGATCCAAGAGAAAGGGGATATACTCGGAGCCAGGAGGCCTTCTAATTAAGCGCATCCCAGATAGCTCATACTCCTGGATTGTATTTATCGGATTTAAACTAAAGGATCAATTGGGCTTTAATTACAATTGCATCTGTGCTGTACATTACATAATCCAGCTCCCCCAAAACTGTGCCTGGAGTATAGTGGTACAGTTATCTCAGTGCCCCCAGTCCATGCGCTCTCTACTTCTTGTGCCTGCCAGTTTCTCAATGGAAATAGTTTCTGCAAATAGTTGTCCCAGAGCCTTCCATTGACACAACTATTTCCATGAAAAAAAAGTTGGGACAAGAAGCAATGTACTCACAGTACAGTTTGGCTCCAGAAAAAGTGGAAAGTGAGTTCATTGCAGGGCATTTAGCGTGGTCACCCTGCAAAATGACCAGGTCCTTTGACTGGCAGGACTACTAAGTATTTATTAGAGAAAGAAGGACACTGGAGGCCTTAAAGAAGAACTATGGGGTTAGGGCTTTTCCCCATAGTTCTCCTTAGGGTAACGGGAAGACACAAACTAGCGTCCTCCCGTCATCCTCAGCTCAGTATACCGCGAGCAACAGCTTGCGGTATACTGAGAAGCCGAAGCTTAAGCGGATCCCGACACTTATGTCTGGATCTGCCCAGCTGCATGAGTGACAGCTGGCTCTGCCTATCTAGAGGCAGAGCCAGCTGTACCCGCCCCCTCCCGTTCCTCCAGTCAGTGCTAGAGGATCGGAGCGGCGAGGGGGGAATCCAGCCACTCCCCTGTCACGCCTGTGACGGGATCGAGAAGTTAGCGAACGCCGGTATGTGTCTACTGACCTGAGTCGACCTGTGACAGTCTCATTGTCACAGGTCGGCTAGAACTATGAGGTGAGTGAAAAGCACTCACCTCATAGTTCTACTTCAATTTAAGTATGGACATCTACTTTACGGTAATTTTAAGTTTTCTTTACAGTTTCTACTTTAATGCCACCTAACCACCAGAAGTTGTCAAGTTGTGCTCTTACAAAGCTATAGAGAGGGATAAATGTCGAAGTAGATAAAATGCAAAAACAATTTAAGACATTGTTCAGAATGATTTACATTACATACCCATCGCAGTGTCTTCAACGCCATTTTCTAAATAGCCATCGAATGCAAATTCATCATGTAAGAGTTGGATCACTTTCTGCAGTGGAGTAGATGTGGCTTTTCTAGTCTCCCCATTTACAACAGTCTCAGACAATGATTTAGTTGACTGGTTATCCTGTGTTTGTTCACGGTTATTTCCATTAAGTGTTCTATGAGGTGTGAGTAGTGTATCCACAGCATTGTCATATTTTTCATAGTCCTTAATATCAACATTGTTGTTCTTACTAGCCTCCGATGCTGGAGAATTATATGTCTTAATGCTCTGGGATACAGGCTCAGTCTCCAGAGACACGCTTGGTATATGGTCTGGAATACTAAGATGTACTCGTACTAGAGTGAGATTACCAGTCTTAGGGTCTTGCTTTAGGAGATAATTGTTTACTAAAGGACTGCTGGCTAGGGTTGAAGAGTTTGAGGAGATGGAAGATGCTGAAGAGGGAATCTTTTCTTTGCGATCGGAGGGGTACTCTGGCAGGCTGGAATTCCGATTGTGGGAAGTCCTCGAAGCGCTGCTGGAAGATTTGCTCATTTGACTTAATTTATCTTCATCTATATGGTTCTCTATATCAGACACACAAATATCATCTTCAATAACTGGGTCTTTCACAGTAATGCTTTCTTTAGGGGATGATTTCTGACTTGCAACTTCATTGCTGGAAGACATTTAAATTAAACACATAGATTGTTTTGCAAATGGGATCAAAGTGCAGTAGACTATAGTAGCTAAATAGAAACTGGCTAGTTTTCAATGATAAGTCTACACCACCCAAAAAAACTCTTTACTGCAATATTCCCTTTCAATTCAGAGCTACCCCCCAGGTAATTCCTTTCCACTATTTGATATCCTCAGCCTTTCAACCCACTCCTCATTCAACCCACTTCCACTAAACACAGGCTGTCATGGACCCACCACCTCGAGCAACAATTCAAACAGTCTTGAGGTGCCCATACACCAGCTGCCCGCTCTGATCAGGTATTCTGACAGGTGCCGGCGTCACCTGTCAGAATACAAGATCCTTTTCCGTTAAAGCAGGGCTCTGCACAAAGCCAGGTACATATATACATGGTTTGACAAGTTTAGTATGAACACAGTTAACTGGCCTTCATGGAGCTATCTGGGATAAATAATAATGCTGACTGCAAGTCAAGTCTTTTCAGCCATCATCTTTACCTGACCTCAAAAAGTTTTTTTACCAATTGGGCAAAGGAATGGGATACCCAACAAGCTCAATGAACAGAACAATGGATGAGAAATACCAACCTACTGACTCAGAAATGCAAGAGCCTCACTTTGTACTGATGCCAAACACACACTTACAGTAAATTCATGAAGAAATTATGGACAAAGCTGTCCAAAATTAATATATTTTAGAGGTGCACCGAAATGGAAATTTTAAAACCGAAACGAAACCGAAATTAAAAAAAATATGTCAGGCCGAAACCGAAAATGTTTTTTAATTGACACCAAAATGTTAATCCACATATGGCCAGCCTGTATATGCCTCTTCCTTTCCGAGCCATTTTTCATCACTATGATAGTTTAGTTCTCTGTAATTTACTGAGCTGATCGGTTGACACGGCACTTCAGTTGGTTGCAAGCACTAGGCAGAAGCAAGAAAGTAAATGAATACCTGTTGACGTCTGTATTCTGCATGATGACTATAGGTTTAAAGTATGTGGCTGGAGATGTAAAGGCAGCTGGTAGATCAGTCAGTGGAACCGGACCTTGCACTGCCATCAGTTTACTGTTTGTTGCTACTGGTACAAAACCTATGACAAAGAGGGATTTAGAAAACATTAACATAGAACACAAATTAAATGTTAAGCAATGAGCACCATTGTAGTAATAATATAAAGAACAGAAGTGTGTATATTAGGTGCACTGCATGGCAGAAAAAAGAGCCACATCAGCATGCTGTAACCCAAAGGCCTATTCATGTTCACAAAGGTTTACGTATTTTCAGGATCACACAAACTGCTACCGGCTGTGTGACTGAAGCCAAAACTGAAATTGCAGCAGCTAAGAGATATTGCAAGTCTCAGCATATGGGTTTCAGATGCTTAGATTTAGACCCCCAACTGAACTTTCACTTCAAAACAGCTAAATACATTACTGGTCCATCAAAACATAAGGTACGCAAAGCATTAAAGTTAATTTGCTTTGAAAAGCAGCCACAGGCCTGAGTAGAAATGCCTGCCTCCTACCAGCATGCCATGAAGAAGGACCCTTCCTCTCTGTAAGAAAGCCGTGATCTCTCTTTAGAGGTCCAACATGCCTCCCTGCTGAGTCACAGCTAATACTCTCCAAAAAGCAGGAAGAATTAAGTTTTTGGAATTTTTAGAGCTATAGCGCTGACTCTGCAGGGGTGTGCCAAACTGCTATAGAGTGACCAATTTGTTTTCTAATGAAAAAAAAACTGTATGGGCCCATTCACACTACTGTGTTACTCAAAATGCACACTACCATACAGTGCAGCTAGCATGCGATACTGTACACTAGGGGTGTTGCATTGCTATTCATTTTAATTGGATCCCAATGCACCTCCTGGAGGGCTTGAAATACACTATATTATCAAAAGTATTGGGACGCCTGCTTTTACACGCACATGAACATTAATGGCATCCCAGCCTTAGTCCGTAGGGTTCAATATGGAGTTGGCCCACCCTTTGCAGCTATAACCGCTTCAACTCTTCTGGGAAGGTGTCCACAAGGTTTAGGAGTGTGTCTATGGGAATGTTTGACCATTCTTCCAGAAGCGCATTTGTGAGGTCAGGTACTCATGTTGGAGGAGAAGGCCGGGCTTGCAGTCTCCGCTCTAATTCATCTCAAAGGTGTTCTATCGGGTTAAGGTCAGGACTCTGTGCAGGCCAGTCAAGTTCCTCCACCCCAAACTCACTCATCCATGTCTTTATGGACCTTGCTTTGTGCACTGATGCGCAGTCATGTTAGAACAGGAAGGGGCCAGGAAGGGGGAACTATGGGGCCAAGCCCAACTTTTGAAAGACAACCCCCCACCAAACTTTACACTTGGCTCAATGCAGTCAGGCAAGTACTGTTCTCCTGGCAACCACCAAACCCAGACACGTCCATCGGATTGCCGGACAGAGAAGCGTGATTCGTCACTCCAGAGAACACGTTTCCACTTCTCTAGAGTCCAGTGGCGGCGTGCTTTACACCACTGTATCCAACACTTTGCATTGCATTTGGTGATGTAAGGCTTGGATGCAGCTGCTCGGCCAAGGAAAACCATTCCATGGCTCTCTATGCACTGTTGTTGTGCCAATCTGAAGGCCACATGAAGTTTGGAGGTCTGTAGCTATGGACTCTGCAGAGAGTTGGCGACTTCTGCGCACTTTAGCATGCGCTGACTCCGCTCTGTCATTTTACGTGGCCTACCACTTTGTGGCTGAGCTGCTGTTGTTCCCAGTTGCTTCCACTTTGTTATAATACCACTAACAGTTGACCGTGGAATATGCAGTAGCAAGGAAATTACACGGAACACCTGAATCCAATGATTTGGAGGGTGTCCCAATACTTTTGGTATTATAACGTACATTGTGGTACTACAATACCATGTGTTGCAGTGAAAAAAAGTAGTGCAGGGCTGCACACAATCCAACTTGAATGGCAACGGTACTGCATGCTAGGTGCACTGTGCGATAGGGTGTACTAAATGCACCGATATCAGATGGTATGAACAGGCCTTAAACTTTGAACACCTTTTGTTTGGATGTACCTGGAATTTAAACTGAAGATAACTGAACCGGTTATTAGGCAAGTTTACTGATGATTTAACGTCCTCTGATGAGTAACGTCCTCTTTAAAATAAGAACAAGAAATAGTTTCCATGTTGCACAATACCTGAAGCCTCTGACATGTGTGCAGCAGATATCTCAGAGGGTGGACGAGTCTGTGTGATCTAAAAAAAGAAACAGAGTTATAACCTCCTGGATTTCAGATCAGCATCTTAGATTTATTTTTTTTACTGAAGAAAAAGTTGTATTGTTATTAATGACGAACCACTGGGGAATGTTGCAGCTTGTTCTGCCCTAAGAAAAACAATGGGGTGATCTTTCAATGTTCACTGATGTCCATCTATGGTCGGTCTCAAACTGATCATACACGGTAGAATTGTGATTGTCCAATCTAAATGTCCAATCTCGTTAGATTGACCAAAATTGTGTAAGGTAAAGGCCTATCTAAAAAAATGCATTCAGGTTTGTATCCAATCAGGCAGACCTTTGCAAAACATAGTCGTAGATTAAAGGAGAAGTATTGGGAGAGTAAAATGTATTTTTAATACACTGCAGCTGTCACACTCCGGCTCTATAGATCAAACTGCTGATCGCTCCGCTCATAACTTCTCCCTGCAGAGAATGGTGACTGTCAGTCACTGCTTCCCGCAGAGATCCCCTCATGCCCTCTTCGTTGTTTCCAGCCCTCACTGGAGGGACAGACAGGGGAGGGGGTAGGCACAGCTGGCTTTGCTCTAGAGGCAGAGCCAGCGGTCAATCAGGCAGCAGGGTGGATCCTGACAATACTGTTGGGATCCTTCTGGACTTCAGCACGGCTCTGCACTGTCAGCATATAGTGGGCTACTGCATATAACAGGCTACATTAGTAAAGGTACTCCTTTGACCCGAAAAATAACTATAACTAAAATTAATAAAAAAAATAAAAAAAGTTAGGCTTTAGTTCTCTTTTACAAGAAGACTGTACAATCCGATTGAAACATGAATTATCAGATCAAGGGTGACACAGCACAGAACTGTATATGGATGATGCTGAACATGCATTACAACCCGATTGTACTTCTCTCCTGTAGATATATCAACCATGTGGGTATGAAGGCCTGCCTAAATAATCCACATGGTTTACATAGAAATCAGACAACCTCACACGTTATAACGGTTAAAACTAAAGGACCTTGTACAATAAGGCTGTAACAATGTATGTCCAACCTACTGAGGTCAACATTGCCAGCTTCTCTTCACATTCCCCACTTTGGAGGGGCAACTTAAGGTGCCCACACACTTTGCGATAATCGTACGATAATAGCGGGAAATCCAGCGATCATACGATTATCGCAATGTGTGTGGAAGGCGTGCGACCTCTGCTACTGTAAGGTCGCACGACTTTTATCTTAGGAACATGTTCAAAAACACGCCGAGAATCGTACGATTGTGCCCGTTCTGCCCATACGACACTGCCCCCTCATCGGGGCGGGCTTGCGATCATCGCAAGTACGATCTGCCTGTCCAAGATAGGCAGATCGTACGCTTTTTTAATTACCTTACAACCATCGCAAGACAAAAGTCTTGCGATGGTTGTAAGGTGTGTGCCCAGCATTACCTTGTACTCTGGTCCATACCAATGTGGTGCATGTCTCCTTGCTTCGGTTTCCCTCTGTTCTTTGCCTTTTCTTTTCTTATACCTAGTTTATTTCTTTCATCAATTCATCTATTATTTGAGCTATAATCTATTTTATTATTTTACATCTGTTCAACCTATATAACACTTAGGGGTATATTTATAAAGCGGTAAGTGTTAAATTCACCAATTATTCACTGCAGGTGAACCTTCTTGGAACATGTGTTTAAAATTATAGGGAATGTTTGGTAAATGTCACAATTACTGCTTTATAAAAACGCCCTTTTAAGTCTAATTATCAGAGATATAGTAGCTTATAAAAAAAAAGTGAACCAATGTTTAGACTTCTATATAGTTAATAATGTGAAGTGCTATTTTTGAATTACCAAATTTAAACCATGCTTTTTTAAAATATTCATTATTACCTTGATAGGAATTTGGCCCACTTAATGGGTTCAGTTGTACGTATACTGTAGATATATTACACACCCTCACAAGGAAATAAATTAGCCACACTATATCTTGTACATATGTTTATAATACATTTTCTGGTCTTTCTGTGAATACACTTTTAAATCTTCTGTCCAAAATTCAACAAATACAGGTTATTAAAGTATTTGGGGTTCCCAACAGTTCTCTGCAAATGATCAAAATGATTTGTGCTTTTAAAAATGAAAAGTTATTCAATTGGCGGTCCAAGTGATTGCTTTTATGTGACTTCTGGGGTAGGGTAAGAAAATAAGCAATTGTGTGCATCTGTTCAGGTCCCACAATACAATACCCTGAATAGCAGTGTCATTCACTTAGTTATGATAAGTGTAAGGCCCCATTCACATGTAGCGCGATATCGCGCATTTTTGCCGCGCGATATCGCGAGAAGTCGCCGGCTAATGATAGTCAATGGAGCTGTCTTAGCTCCATGTCGCTCGTCGCTTCTACCGGACCCTTTTTTCGGCGGATTTTGCGCGATTTTGTTTTTTTTTCTATGGAGCCCGACGGAGAAGGTCGCGCTACCGTCGCTGGATTGTCGCTGAAACGTCGCCCCGAAAGTCGCGCTATCCCGGCCGCTGCAAAGGTATGTCGCTACATGTGAATGGGGCCTTATGCTGCAAACATATGAAGTCGTTCAAGCAGACAACCATGAAACCTTGGCTGGTCTACAGTGAACTGCTTACCTGTTCTGCAAGGCTGAGTAAGTGTGACCACATTGCCTTACTGTCCAGATTCTTTTGGAGTAGATATTTTCTGCAAATCTGGAAGTGTACACAAAAGTAAATATAACTGTAATAAGAATTAATGACAACATTTTTATGTATACGAACTGCAGTGACTAACATGACTGATAATTTTTTATCATTTTGCAAAGGGAGAATGCAGGAGTCAATTATTAGACATATTTAAAAATTCTTTTTTGTTGGTACTTGCCAACTGTCTATGCTTACATGTGAATGCATCATGTGGCAAATGGCCTAGGGTGGCCCAAGGTGCAGTCAAGCATGGGATGCAAATTGTGGCCAGATTGTGGTGGTGCTTCAGCTAAAAGGCTCCAGAGGGTTAGAGATACTTAAGACAGCAATTTTATCCTGTTTAGCCCGCATGCTGAATGATAGAAAAATCAGTTGATTGCCCCCATTCATGCTAAACACAGACTGCGGACACCGGTCTCCTCCCCGCTCAGCTCAGCCTCCTGAATGTTTCTCTCCTCCCCGCTGGACGCTGCTCCTTGTCAGCGGGGACACAGAGCAGCGTCCAGCGAGGAGGAGAGAAACCATAGATGCCCCGCAATTTCGGCTGAAAAATGGTACTTTGGGCAAATCAAAGTACCATTTTCGTCCGAAAAGCTTTGGCAGCCGAAATTTCAGTGCATCCCTAGTAGTTAACACATTACACTTTCCTACCACTGTCTTCTCTTATTTTGAGGGGCAACTGAAAAACCAAAAATGATGGAAAAACTGGCACATTGATCTTTACCATCACAAATGTCAAAGAGAGATCAAAGAAATCTGTTGGTAAAGTAGAAGCCCCTTATACAGGTATGTAAGGTGGCCCAAAGGGAACCAAGAGGTGGCCCAAAATGGCCCAAAAGGAACAAAGAGCTTTCAGCTAAAAAAAATTGCAAAGCTTGGGGTTGTCTTCTTAAAACAGGCTGATGTATCATTTTCTCAACCTCCAAAAAACGAGGAATAAAGCCTGATTTTCTACAATTTCACCTGGCAGCAAGCGTTTCCCTCTACTTGACACAAGTCACCCAGCGGATACTGTGTCTACGCCTTCAGGCCTTTGTAACGTGTAATTGACTGCACACAGATCTGTTTGCCATTACCTGCAAGGCTTCGCCTAAACCCGGTCTCTCTACTGAGTCTTTCTTTGCCATCTGCAGCAGAAACCGCTTGAGCTTTTTCGGCAGCGCTAGCTTGTGATTAGCAGGGAAATTGAACTTTGCTGCTGACCATAAAATAGCTGCAATCCCGTAAACACAAGCCTGTAAAAGTAAAATGTGTACATATTAAATCTGCGGAGGGCTGAAACAGAGAAGAGAACAAAATGAAAAAAAAAAACATTACGAGGGTGGAAAAATAATGAAAGTCATAAGCCAAGAAGATTAAAATGATACCCAACAAGATGCAGAAGTAACCGAGGCTACGCTGAAAAACGCAAGAACCAATTTATTAGGAAACTATTAAGACGATCTCCATTTAATACTTCACTGCAAGAACCTTCCTTTAATAAGCCATGAGGGATTAAAGAAGACTTCCACCAAGTACAATTCAGTGGCTCAAAATACTGAAGCCACAGGCAGCCAGGCAACTATTACTCTTAGCCCTCGTTCACACCTGAACGTTTTGTAGCGCGTTCTACGCTCGACGAACGCTCTACAAAACGCTCAAACATCTAAATCCCATTGTATTCAATGGGTCTGGTTCACACCTTGGCGTATTTCAGCCCGTCCCTAACGCGCTACAAAACGGCCCACGCCTGAAAAGGTACATGTACTACTTTGAGCCGTTTTTGTTGCGCGTTTCCATTGGGATACAGCCAAGTAGCCCTCGGAGACAACCATGGCTCCCCCCATAGATACAGGTGGACAAAAAAGGTTTGTCACCCTAGGACAGGAAGCGTGTAATTCACAAGATTACCAAGTGAAAATAAAGGAGGGAAAATCCTAAAAAAAAAAAAAAATGCAGCCAGCATATCTAAAGTTGCCCACACACCTTACAATTATCTGCAGATTTTCTGTGGCCAGATGGAAAAGGTGCAACAGATTCCTCCATCTACACTTAACTGTGTGGATGGAGTAATCTCCACCTGAGCCAATCTGTTGCACTTTTTCCATCTGACCACAGAAAATCTGCAGATAATTGTAAGGTGTGTGGGCACCTTTAGGACCGGTAAACCACAATGTTTTACATGGTTGGTTTTGGGTTCAGATACCCTTTAAGGCTTTATTAAAGAAGGTGTAATTTCCTCCAATACGGCTGAAATGAGAAGTTGTTCAGGCCTGTCTGGGTTTACACAAGCACAGACACTAAAATGCACTGGAATGCACTTCTTTGCATTTTCTAACTACAGACTATTTGTGCCTACATTAACCCCTGATAGGTCTGAATGACAGGTCTGTTCATCCACAGAAACCAAAGGAGAATGTCATATCTGTTTTAATGCTTTATAGTAACTATATCTACTGTAAGAGATTAGAGCTCTAACCAGCCTCCAGAAACACACCTCACTGCCGCATGTTGATGAAGCCTTTATCTATCAGGGTGTGTGGAGCGTAAGTGCTCCTAATTTGCATAGTAGCAGAGCCAGGAAACTCAGCAAGGATATGATATGCAATTATATGATATCTAAAGATGTTCTTTCAGAGCAGTCAATATGCTCGTTCCTTTTTAAAGTGACCCTGTACTGAGAAATAAATAGTAAAAGCCTTGTTACCTGTAATAGAAAACTAAATACTCACCTTTTCCACTTCCTGCGCCACTGAATACCATCAGGATCCCGAGAAAGCGCCCCGCAAAGTCTACTGCAAAACTTCTGGGAGTGTCATTCTCCTGGGGCCCCCATAAATCTCACTGCTTCCTCCTGCTGACCTGTCACCGCAGGACTCGGTATTGACACGGAAGTCATCAGGAGGAACCAGTAAACACACTATTTAAATACATTATCTTTAGTTCTAAATGTAATAAAGAAAATGTTTAGACAGAAATAAAATTACATTTGAGCCCCCATTTACTCTTCAGGTGCTTTTGAAATTTGTTTGTGTTTTTCCGGCATTTTCAGGCTTGAGTTAGTTACTAGGAGGAGGAACATTTTTCAGATGCTCCCACTGGTCTATGGGGACAAAAATACCCAATTCTGCCAATTATTAGCGTATGTACTTTTTTGAGCTTTAAGCTACAAGGGACAGAAAACCAGACTCCTATCGCTCAGCGTACTCGTCTATTTTCCATCAGCAATCTTCTAAACGACCATCAGTCTGCGAGGCTGCCATCCAAAAGGCTATTGGGATATATCCTCATGGTACAGGCAAACACAGAAGAACAAAGGAGACAGCCCCTTCTCATGTATAAGCATTTATTAACAGTGCAAAGCACAATAGTAGATTACTCACATGAATAAAATTTGATCAAGTGGTGTATGAACAAACAGGAACAGCTTAAGCAGAAAAGTTGATGCATTTCAGAGGCAATCCCTCCTTCAGAATGAAGGAATGTGCACCTCACAGTCAGTTTTATATAAGAGAAAAATGAACTCGCCAATGTAGAGAGAGCCATTCACCCACATTGAAAACGCCTACCTCCTCACAGTCATTAGTGTGAACAGCCAATCAGGACATAATGAAACATCTAGGGCTTGTTCAGAGCATGTTCGGGGATCATGTCCAGACCAGAACAGTTTGTTCCCGGACCAAAAAGCATGCCAATTTATCCCTATGGTATTTCTGGACTCTGTTCACACCAGCGCAGTCCGTTCCAGACAAAAAAAAATAAAAATACTGCTTGTCTCATTTTCTCTGGACTGAAATGAGCTGGAACACATGGAAACGCATCAAAACAGCATACAAACGCACTGGACTGCATCTGTAAGCCCATTTTAAGCTAAAAAAAATTTGTGAGGTTTGCTGATCTACTCCAGATATGGTTTGGACATGGTGTGAACATAGCCTTAAAATGATTCATGTGGGAGGAGATCTGCAAATGCTGACTCATTATTCCCAGTGAGCAAAATACAGAGGACCAGTAAGTCCTCAGGGCCAGGGCCCTCCTTACCATCTTGTCTTGTGATTGTAATGTCTTCCTTATATTGTATAGCGTTGCACAAACTGTTGGCGCTATAAATCCTGTATAATAAGAATAATTCTTCATGTTTAGCTTTGTCACACTTTGGGAAAACAGGCAATAAAATACTCAGGTAAGAATAGGGGTTAAGGCTGAATTTCAAGCCGGTATTAAAAAACAAACAAATGTATTTATCCACCTGCCTGAAATTCAGCTTTAAATAAAGCACAAAATAATCCTGTTCTACCTTTTCCGTTCCAGCTCCCTCGCCATCATGCTCATACTCCGGGGGAACACAAAATGCATCATGAGAATCTGAAAATAAAACCAGGCACAATGTTCAATGTGTAGGCAACTAACTAGGAAACAAGCTCACATATACAGTATAAATGGCAAAGATTCATAAAGTATTCAATGCGACTTTCACCAAACATTCACTGGTAATTAATTGGTGTCATTTAAAAACACATGCACTGGGAAGATTCATCCGCACTGCATGTTTGGCTCATAATGTATGAAAACTCCAGCTAACCCATCTGTATGATTTTTGGATGATGTGACAAGTTACACAGCGGGGAGGCTTTCTCTATGTAACCTGTTAAAAGCCGCTCTGAAGGAGAAAAAGCCGTCAGCTTCAGACTGGAAGTGGACAGCTTTTTCCACCCTAATATGGAGGTGAGACTCTGCCTCACGTGTCTCCCCTGACCGCACATCTCTGCTTTACATGCATAGGTACATTCACACCAGTCCCCCGCCCCCAAGGAGCTTACACTCCAAGGTCCCTATCTCACTTGCATTCATACCAGGGCCAAGTCAGACAGGAGCCAATTAACTTCCAGCATGCATTTATAGTGGAGTACCCAAAAGATAGCCACAGAGATAACATGCAAACTCCATGCAGATAGTGCCCTAGATAGGATTCAAACCCAGAACCATAGTGCTGCAAGGCAGCAGCGCTAACCACTTTATTCCAGATTTCTATCTCTTCAGAAAACATTACAAATCCCCCTTTCATATGGGCTGAATTTTATTTTTAAATAAGAATTTAACAGAAGCCTCTGCAGATAGGATAAGATCATCTATTCAGTAGTTCCATATCTGAAAATAGAAGTGCACGTTCCATCATTCTTAAATGTTCTCAGACTTTCTACAGTCAGTCTGTAGCAGGCTTAATGATAATGCAGCGTGATAATGAACTTATTAATTTTATTGTCTCTCATAAGAATGCTCATTAGAAGTTAGTATACCATAAAAGGAGGAAGTTCTATTGCCAGCCTGTATTTCAAAACGACTGCCCTTACAGTTAGCAAAGCTTCCACAAGCCTGGCTCGTCCATGTCCCTCACTGTTTTCTATTTAAAAAGGGACCTTGTACAAAAATGCAAGGTCCAGTTATTGTATTAGTCTACCCCCCACCCCTTTTACCAATCATTTCATTAAAGCCGTAAAAATAAGAAATACCTGTGGGAAGAAGAAAACTTAGAAAATATACTTAACTTATCCCTTATTTCCACACTGGAGAGGGTGACGTCATGACCCTTCCACCAAGATCCCAGAAAACGCAGTATTCCAAATCTTCCAAGAAGATGCCACAGTATGCAGAGGCGTCTTCTCGTGAGATCTGGGATCCTTAAAGTTTTTAGGACTTCGCTGAAAGATTGTGACATCACCCTCACCTAATTACAGCAGGCAGGATTCAGGGGCAAGGTAAATATATCTTATACATTTTATTCCAACAGTTTTACTATTACAGCTTATTTTTCTTTCAGCCATTTCCCCTTCCCTCCTGGGGAAAAAAAAGTTAGTGAAGTACAACATACCCCCGTTCTTACTCTACAGTACTATGCTTCTAGCCTTGCTCTATCTTCAAGAGCTGGAAATGTTATAAAAAGCATTGCAGAGAGGGGTTCAAGGATGGTGGGGGAATCGGTTAAGGGGGAGACGGGATTTGTGCTTTAATGACGATAAGATAAGATTTCCTCGAGAGGGTTCCACTGGCAATCTATTTACAACGATGTCAGCAGCTATTTTTTAAAGCTGCTATTCAGCTGGCCCAGAACAGCACATAAACGGTCCTAAAAAGGCAAATATACTTAAAGTAATCTAAATTCTGCTCATAAGCCTCAGGTTGCCGACAAGTAATAACAATTCCACAGCCACCAGACTTATTGGTTTACCTTCATTTGCAAGTGTAACAAATAGGACTTCTCCATTGTGACTGACCAGTACAGACTCCAGGCATAACATTTCTGTAAATAAGTAATGAGAGACACAAAATTATCTTAACTACATCACTAAAATAAAGCATTAAGCAGGTTACTTTGATAAACTCAGCATACACAGTCATGTTTAAAGAGAACTATGGGGTAACCTTTATATCCTATAGTTCGATTAAGGGTCACGGGAGGATATATTCTATGTCCTCCCGTGACCCAAAGCTCAGTATATAGCGAGCTATTGCTCACTATATACCGAGATTGCCGCAGCTGGGACGGATCCCGACAATGCTGTCGAGATCCACCCATCTGCGTGAGTGACAGCTGGCTCTGCCTATCTAGAGGCAGAGCCCGCTGTACCCGCCACCCCCCCCCCTTCCGTTCCACCAGTCAGCGCTGGAGGATCGGAGAGGAAGGGGGGAATCCCTGCGAGGAACGGTGACTGACAGTCACTGCTCTCTGCAGGGAGATGATCAGAAAGTGAGCAAGTGACGGTATGCGTTTGCTCACTTCCCAATATATAGAGCCGACCTGTTACAGTTTAATTGTCACAGGTCGGCTCGAACTATGAGGTTGAGTGAAAATCACTCACATCATAGTTCTCCTCTAATGAGGCACAGCACAGTAGTAACCAATCCGCTATGTTTTCACACGCAGAGACTTACTTTGTTCCGTCAATCATCCAAAACAGAATTTGTGAGGTCAGGTACTGATGTTGGACACAAAAATCTGGCTCAAATCTGCATTCTTTTCATCCAAAAGGTGTAGTAGAACGGAGGCCAGGGCTATTGTGCACATGGAACATTTATGCTGAAAAGAATCTTCCCCAAACTGTTGCCACATGGATGAAAATGCATATTGTCCTCCATCATCTACGGTCTCTTAACAGTACTTTTCCCTATAACCGGCTTAACTCAATAATTTGGAGGGATGTCCACATTTTTGGCTACACAGTATAGGTTATGTGTCTACAAACGTTGGACCATATAGCATAGAAGAACCTGGAGTTATGCGTCTATTTCACATATTCTTGTCCCTTCCTTTTCTCTCTCATTTTAGCAGCCAGTGCAGATAACCTCAAAGTTATCTCAATCCGAAAACTTAGCATGTAAGCGAAGTTTAGGAAAAAATATAACGAAAGATCAGAAGTAATTACAGATGGCACAGCATAGCTATGGATCTAAAAGTAGCACTAAAAAGAGATCAGGAGTAAACTGAGGGTGTTACGATGAGTTGGAGATGTTTAATATTTTGTAACGTAAGAACACTCTTGGATGAGCACTGCCTTAGGAGAAAATGAAAAGGCTTTTCCTGAGTATTAAGAAGGACTGCAATGACAGGGCTGCTAATGAAGAGGTCACAGTTTCATAATACAGTAGAGTGGTTCTACCAGGCAGAATACAATACATTCACACAACCCAGTACCAGGCCTGGGTTCCGATGTGTGCCATTACGTCAAAATGAGTTGATCATCTGCCAGCACTAAAAGTCTTTTGTGCAGATGGCACAAATGCCCTCTGTGAGTATGTTGGCAAGAGGCAGACATAATGAGGGTCCTATTCTGGAGCCGGTAGGACTGCAGACACGCAAGCAGGAATTTCCATTCAAAGACTAATGGGTCAGCTCACTGTAATTTATAGCTCAGCTAAATACACAGCTTATGGAGCTGTGTTACTGAGATCATTACACACTAGCAGCAAAAAATATGTTTAAGTAATCCTTTCATAAAAACAAATTCTAACTTTGTATTTCAAAAAGGTAATGTACAGTAGTTTTAGATTCTTTATTAAGACTAAGAAGAAAGTTTTTTCTTCATTTGTTTTGTCTGGTAAATATGATATGTTGCATATTCATATTGTATATTCCTTTTTTTAAGTATTCCTTACTACCCGTTGTAAAAACCCTGTTTACAGAGGATGTGGTACTTTTTTATGAGGCAATTCAGTTACCTTGTACAGAGCTCAGTAACTTAAGCCAAAATTTACATACCAACAGAATTGAATGAGTCAGAGTAACTCAACCCTTATTAGATGGCTCAGCCCCAGGTTTCAATAAGTCAGCGTCTTAGGGCAAGCACTTACTATGCTGTCTGCTTAGCTAATTCACAGGACTGTGGGAATCTTTTGTTTTACAGGTTTATTTGTAAAACGGATTGTATACACATAGTAAAACACAGAGCTAAAAACCTAGATACTTAAAATAAAGTACATTAAATAAAAAAGGTCTAAAAACTAGTATCATTTTCCATTTAAGTAGACAAATATAGAGAATTCCAAACCCTAAACTCAGGCTAAATCCTGCAAGCACGCCCACTTACATGAGCACACTAATCTACATATTGGCACGTTGCTCAGATACATGGGTGTGCAGGCAAAAGGGATTAACACGCCTTATTCCAGCCTTGGCACCAGATGGCCTATTTAAACTAGTATTAAACTCCCAAACCTTTTTTCAGTAAAGTATTCAGATCAAACAAACATGCATTTCCCCAGCAAAGTATTTCTTGCATTTTTGTCCAAGCATTTTCAGTCAGTATGTTTCCTCTCGGCTCAGCTTCCTTAAACGTCCTGTACAGTACACACATGTCCATCTACTAGCTTGGAGAAAAGAGGAAAGTGAGGCAGAGCAGGAAAGTGGATTGCCTTGCTGTGCCTTTGTGTTTGTGGAGACATGCTACTTAATAGCACACACAAGGGTGGCTCTAGAGCAGCGTTTTTCAACCACTGTGCCGCGGCACACTAGTGTGCCGTGAGATATTTTCTGGTGTGCCGTCAATAAATCGTTAATTTCTTTGATCGATCAAAATTATTTTGATCGATCAAAGTTACTCACCTCTCCGCCGGCTTCCGGGTCTTCCGTCGGAGATCCGGTGACGTCACGGACATCGACGTCACCGGACTCCTCCCCCCTTCCCCGAGTGGCTCTGTCGGCTAACAACCCGGCAAGCGAAAAGAGCCACACTAAAAAGATATCAGGGCCAGTGCTCGGGGGACCAACTGATTCTGCAGGAAACTAAAACGTCTAAACATTAAAGAGCAGCATCCACTGTAAGTGATTTAAATCAGCTTTTAAAATATATACTTGATATAATCTCTTGATCCCAGTGCTTAGTACAGCCAATATGGTCCTTTAGCCTTCTCACACTGGTAACACCTGTGGGGCTGCTCCTCCAATGGTCAGGGACTCCCGTCAACCATACAATGCTCTCTCTCTCTCCTCTTTTTATAGCTTTTAAAATAGCTTAAAAACCTTTTGACTTAAATAGCACTTTAACCCCTTGCCGTCCGCCCATCGTAAAAATACTGGCGGATGGCTGACCCTTCCTGGCAGGTGGACGTACATGTACGTGATTTTTTTTCTGCGGGCACTCGCAAGTGTAATTTCGCCGGGAAGGTAAACAACCGTCACCAGCGGTTTCATACAAGCGTTCGGCCGGTTATCCCGAGCACCGCTGTCTCCCCTGTGGTGTCCGGTACCGAGAACACCATCTCAGCGGCTGCTCGTAGAGAGAGAGAGAAGGAAGTGGTGATCAGCATTTCCCCCAGCGCTGAGCTCTCCTCCTTCTCTCTCTCTAAAGTCGGAAACTATGTGCATTACATCACTTCAGCCTTTAGCTGTCATTTCTCTGGCTGATCTCTGCTTCATCAGCTTCTTTGGGGGTCCCTAGGTGACATTAGGGGTCTTGGGGATGGCCTGGCCAGGAAGGGGGTTTAACACCCTGGTCATCAAGTAGTTAAGCAACAGTGCTGAGCTAGGAAGTTGCTGGATGGTCTTCAGCTGTTACCCTGCGACTTGATTCTGAACCAGTTTTGGATTTGCTTTCCCCGTTGCTGACTCAGCTTCCGCTTGGACTTCTCTCTGCCCTGCCTCCTTCAGCTAGTTATTGAACATGGCTTGCCTCTGCTATCTCTTGTTTGACCTTGGCTAAGTTCCTGACCACAGCCTCTCTCTGCTGATCTTCTGGCGTGACCTCAGCCTGCCTCCTGACCATGACTCTGCCTGCTAACTTTCTTCTCGGCCAATGATCAATGCTTGTCTGGTCCACGCTTCCAGTCTGCGGTGTTCCAGGGTCCTGCCCAGCTGTTTATGTGATCTGGACTCCCAGCACCTGTGCCACTTTGTGCCCTCTCTCTCTTTCTCTGTGCTTTCCACCAGGGGTGTCTGGAACAGTGGTTTAAGGAAAGCCCTCTTCTCATCACGGCAAACTCACAGTTAGGCATGCATGCAAATCAAGCTGTATATGTGAATATGCATATGTTTTTGATCCCACAGTTTCACCTTTTTTTGCAGAATTGGGATCGATCATACAAATGTGTCTTAGCAAAAACCTCCTCTAAATTCTTAAACCAGAGATGCAAGACTGGCTGCTAAGGGCAACAGAAAGAGTTGTTTCAGGTTCTAAACCATGAGGATTACACGTTTGCTTGATCCACCTGTGTTCAGTAGAGTGAAATATGAGCTTCTGGCATCATTAGGGAACAACAAGAAGAAAAAAGCACAGAGCTCTCTTAGGGATGTGGGGCATGCGTGAATGTGGTTAGTGGGGATTGCTGCTCAAAGAACAGGAGGAGAAACCTGTGAACATAATAATGAGGCAATAAGAGCGCAAATCCGAAAGTGTAAATAGTGTAGCGATGGCCCGTCTATACAAGATTAAAAATGGAAAAATTAAACAGAAAGTGGGGAACTTACTTCTGGTATCGAGAGTCCAGGCTCAGACCCACTTCTTTTTTTCAAGCTTGAGAAAGAGGATCTCCTCAAAACGCGTTGCTCTTTTATCACCGTCCCGTGCACCCCCTTCTTCAGCCCTCAGCCACTTTCACTCCATCACTTTCAGAATAACACAGCGGCCAAGATCATAGACAGCCTCCTCACCAGCCCTCCGGCACACACAGCGCCCAGTTTAAATCTGTTCTTTACTTCAGTCTTTGACCCCCGGTTTCACCAACACACTTGATGACACCATTCCCAGCCGCCATGGTAAAATCCTAGGACCAGTCCTGCTTTGCCCTTACTCTTCCAGCTGGAGACCACCGCATATCGAATACCATTACATAACACGTCTTGCATTGCCAGAACAGTTATCGCACCCGGACTCTCAATACCACAAGTAAGTTCCTCACTTTGTTTAATTTTTCAATTTTTAATCTTATATAGACGGGACTTCCCTACACTATTTACACTTTCGGATTTGCGCTCTTATTGCCTCATTATTATGGCATCATTAGGGCTGGTTTTACACTTTTGTGGTGCTTTAACACACTGATATTAGTGTATGTTACATTAGGAATTATTGTACGTTGCATTAAGGCAGCATTCATTTTTGTATGGGCTGCCAACAAACCCTGACACAGCCCAAACCGCACATTACCCTTTTTTTGCTGCTGGAGCATTGCCTTAAAATGTTGGCGTACCATTCAAAATGAGCACATGCATAGTGCAGTACCATATGTTGCAGACACCCACATTATCAGAACAGTGGTGTGATTTTGGTCTAAAAGAACATTATAGCGTTAAAACAGTTTGCAAAAGGAACAGAATGCAACACATTACCTGGATAATCAATGTAGGTCTTTAGTGTACACAAACACTCATGACACAGTGCCCACAGTTCATCTTCTTGCAAAGGTTTCCCATAATTTAGTAAAATATCTTTTAGAGGGATCCACTGTAAAATAAGAGAGGTACCCAAAAAGAACACTGATTATTATATGCCACGTGTGTAAAATTCACAATAATCACATCTTCATGCATACAGAAGGCAGGAGCCATTCAAGCCAGAGTTCCAGAAGTCATATAAAACTAGAGTCCTTAAGTTGGGATAGGAGTTTATTAGAATATTTAAAAGGTGAGGAATACACCCCAAACGCTAACACTTTATGAACACAGACCTTGAGATTGAGGGCCTAAAACATTCTACTACTGACACCATTCAGTGAGCTACTAATGCTGTTCAGCAAATAGTAGAGCAATGATGAAATAAAAATGTTCACTCACGGTCCACTATATCAGAGTTCTTTGTAATCCACTGCAGCATGAATACAGAGAACACCTCACAGGGTCAAGGGAGTGCACTTCCTGAAGCCTGTGCACTTTTCTCTCTTTCAGCTTCTTTTAGTAAATGTTTTACAAATAACACAGTATGTGTGGCTGTATATAATGATATATATATATATATATAATCTCAAGGATTCATTTTAGAATTTGGCTAAATTGTACCCTTATCAAATGAAATTAACGCCAATGAAAAAGAAAACTAAGGACTATGCACCTTACAGGATCTTTAGACCACTGCAGAGGAGGGGGAAAAGACGTTGGAAGAACCAGGACCGGTCTAAGAAGAAGCCGGCTCAGGACTTTCGGGTAAGTATAACGTTGATTTTTTTTTTTTAACCTAGGCATAAGCGAGCAGTTAACCCTTGCAGTGATCATGATGCATCTCTTGCTGTGTCTCTAATGTTCATGTTACAGTGAGTTTGCATAGTGTATCTCACAGATCACGTTGACGATTATCAAAATTGACTGCTTGTGTAGTATATATTAGCCATGGTTAACTGGCTGTTGGAAAAAAAAAAAAAAAAACATGCGGGCTCTAACCTTCCACACATCTCTGTGATTGGAACGCAAGTGGAGTTCACTGAAACTTAGCATCTAGAACCACATGAAAGTCATGAAAATGTAGTGATCACATTGAACTTCTTAGTTCAGTTCATCAAGGCTCTTGGCCCCCTCCATAGCGAACACAGTACGGAAGACAGCAGCACAAACTTTTTAACGATCAATCAATGGTTCTCAAACCACATAAAACAAGAGAGTTTAAAAAATAAAAAAAAAGGTCCCCTGGTGGCTCCAAGACCAGACTAATAAGGAAATATACAACAAAAACTGTCCTGTTATGCTCATGTGTCAATTTTCCTTCATGTGAAAAACTTTTCTTTACAGTCCACTGACATTACATAAAACCTGGACACCAAAGTACATCTTAGCATGGAATTTTATAAGTTAATTGAAAGAAAAATATGAATCAACATGTTAAATCATGCATGTGACTGACGTTATCTGCTTGGAGTAAAATGCGATTTTACCTGCTGCTCCTCTTGTAAAGCATCTGACTCATGTCCATCGATATCTACATCCAGCTCAGGACTGTTGACATGTCTTGAGACAGAGACAGCCCCCCTCTGATAAAGTGGTGGAGATATCAGTGTTTCATGTACATTGTGTTGTGTTCTATTTAACACTGGAAATTCTGGATCCATATACTCGGAATCTGCATATGTTTGTAGAGATCTGCTTTTATTCATATTAAGCATTTGCTGGTTTTCCTGTTCAAGTGCCAGAACTAAATTTTCATAGGAAACTTGAGAATGGCACTTAGATTGTCCAAGGGGGGATAAACAGTTTGCGTTGCTTGGCAACGAGAGACAGGAATTATCAAAAGTGACACGTTTTGACTGATTTGCTTGTCCATCGTTAGAATCTTCTTCGTCATCTTGGTCATCCATACTTTCATTTGGGGACAAACAACTAGGAACCGATGGCCAGCTTTTTAGGGTGACCATTCCTCCACTTTGCGGAGACGGGGACAAAGCGTGCTTGTCAACCTGATTAACCACAGGGGAAATTTTATTTATGCGCTGTCTTTTTAAAGAAAGTTTTGCTATTTCATCTTCAACCTTTAGCCTGTCAACGTTCTCAAACTTTTCAAAGGTGGGCAATTTAGTTTTTTCCCTTTTGTTTTTCTTTAGGTGGCATCCAAAAGAATTTGGAGAGGAACATGGTTTATCCATTTTGAATTCCACTTCCCGCCATCCATTCTGAAATTCTTCTTCTCGTGATGAGGTAGAATGATGAGTTATACAACTGTTAGTCAAGCAGCTTTCATTGACAGAGAGGATATGGTTTGGCATTCCCTTTGCATTAGAGGGATCTTTAATAATATTGTCCTTTTTGTTGATCTCCTTCCAGAGACTGTCCCAGCCATCTATACCGAAATAAATATAAGTTATAAATATATATATTTCAGGAATTGTGTCTATTGCAGGGTAATGTCTAATGTCAGGCTTTTCACTGTCATGTTGAACAGCTTATATGCACATTCCAGGGCTGCAGCTACCTTGTCTTATTCTGGTCCTCCCTATACTTCCACATATATTCTACTAGCCACTGAGACACACACACACACACACACACACACACACACACACTCTCTCTCTCTCATTTTCTCTCTCCCTCTCTTTCCACCCAAACCATACTTTCTAACTACTTGTCAGGATTTTTAAACCTCAAAGACAGTCAATAATGTTCAAGGCAGAGATGAATGGAATATTGTGTAGACAATCGTAAAGCAACATATTAAAAATCATAAGATGTAGTGCATTCTAAAAGACAACCTGGCATATTTAGTCTTCAAATCAATATAACTGTGCAGGCTTACATTTTTATGTACTCAGATTGGGACAACGAAGTAAGCCACTTGTCATTTCCTTTCTTTGCAGTGTGTGTTACACACACACATACACACACATGTGGTCTTTGGCTGCCCTCTGCAATTCAGGGTTTTCTTTATTTCCTATGCCTTTAATTAGGTCTGGGGAAACCTGTTCTCTATTTATTCTTTGCTATATACGTTTCTAACGTGGTATGTGGTTTCCACATATATACCCAAGTGTATGCAACAGAGACATCTGTTTTCATTAAACAGGTTGTAATTATACTTCCATCCCGGCCAATAGGGCTGAGTGCTGCAGACTTCTAATTTAGACTGTGACATGAGTTTCCTGTGTTTCTTGGTCTATCTCAGTTACACTCATTTTCACCTTCTTTTCCAATCTTAGACCCAGAATTCCCTGTGGTTGAATTTCTGTTGTTTATAACGGTAATGCACGTTATCAGGAAGACAGGTACCAGTGAAGAGCTCTGCTTAGTGTTCTGCCTGCATTGCAAGCATGCAAATACAACAGTGGTTGCACAAAACTAGATTGAAAGTAAACTCTGGAGTGCACTGTTGCTATGTATCTGCATGAAGTTGAACTGTTAATGATCTGGCATATAAGCATCTTTCTTTTAAATGTCACTGTGCTGCAAGGACTAACAAAAAGAGCACCAGTTATAACAGGACCTATGCAAGACTTTGAATATTAAAGTAAACCTTTCCATTCCTCAAGCATGTAAACATTTTCGTATGCTCATAATCTGTTCTATGAGCTGTTAGAAATGCAGTCCTCTCCCTAAAAAAGACAGACCATTTTCACTGGTATGAAAAATCTAAATTTGTTGTCAAATGTCAACAGCTAAACCTTCACAGACCAGCAGAGAGGTGGACTGTAACTCATAATGTGGCTTCGCCTTCTCTATACTATGTGAAAGGAAAGCTAGTGGAGCCCCATTGTGAAATAATTGGGTCTATGGTGGGCCTAGAATGGAGAAGAGTTTTTGTTCACCAATTATAGGCTAACGAGTTGTTTATAAGACTGCTAAGTTCACATTTGCCATTCATTTCTGCAAGCCATGGAAAATGTAAGAGTTGATTTAACTCTTTAGTAATGTTGTGTGTGCTTGCCAAAAAACGTGTACTATTGTATCTATGGATGCACCAATACCGACACCAGTATCAGTGCCAATACTGGGCATTTTCACGTGCACTTTTACACTTTTATAAGCACCAATACCAGCACTTGCTGGAGACCTCAGGCAGCTTGCCGAGGACCTTACGGTGGCTGTCTTTTACAGCACTGGTCTGGCCCCCACCAAGCAGCCATGGGGAGAACTGCATGGAGCCCTGGTGATACCCATAAGCAGTCATGGTGACACTGCAGAGCTGTGGTGAGACCTGCACAGTGTCCCGAGACACTGCACAGCCCTGGTGAGCAACAGAATATGTAGCTTAATATTATTCTGCATTGCTGTAGAATGCATTTGGGATGGGTAGCCCTGTGCAGCTTGGCGTCCATGGCAGAGCTACCAGGGTCGCATCAGTTGCAGCTGTGACTGTGCCCTGGCGCTCCACCACTATCCTAAAATCATTAGTCTATTGTTTTAGAAAAAAACTGTCACACGATACTAAAAAAAAAAAAAAAAAAAAAAAAAAAAAAAAAAAAGAAGTATCAGTAATTGGTAGTATCGGTACTCGGTCTTAAAAAAAAAAATGGTATGGGTGCATCCCTAATTGTATCCTTAATTATATATATTAATGTTTAATCCAACTCTTTATCATAATAGTCAGGGGGTACCAAAAGCCTGACAGCTACTGCTATTTTAACCGCTTGACCTCAGTCTTCCATCTTCTGACTGTGGTTAACAGTCAAAAAACAGAAGCCTGTAGTCAAGATACACTCAAACAAATACAAGTCTTTGTTATCTGATACTGTTATACAAACTCAGAGGCCAGGAGACAGAACTGTCTCAGATTCAGGTGACCTCTGACTTACATAGTTGGGAGTTAGACTAAAAGCAAGTAAAGCGCAACAAATAAAACGTATTTCTTATATAAGCCTAAACTTTAATAATAATTTTTTGAATATCACAATTATTGTCCAACCCTGCTGGCAGCAAAATAAGAATATAATTTATATAGACTGTCACTGGAATTGAAATGTTTTCATTAAAATGGGCAGCTGTGGAAGAAGTGTTTCATACTTCCATCTCCACTGGGCGATGACTTGGATGGTCCATTAGTTGAAAACCTACGGCTGCTAAAAATACTTTAAAGCATAAGAAAAGTGTCCTGATTGAACAAATCAAAGACAGGCATGGTTTTTTTTTATTATTATTGACAGAAGAGACTTAAGCTGGCTCATACACCTATAGATTTTCTATGGTCAGATGGAAAAAGTGCAACTGTTTCCTCCATCTACGCTACACTGTGTGGATGGAGGAATCTCCCACTGGTCTAAGCCTTAGTATCTTGCAAGTCAGCCCCACTGGCTCTCAAAATACCTGAACAATGCCTGCATCCAATAAGATTGTTCAGCCAAAATTCTTCTGCCAGTGAGCAATTTTTATTTTTTGTGCGCACAGAGCCACGCATGCACAGCGCAGTGCACAGACCCAGCATGTCAAGGTGATGTGCGCACGGGAGTTACATCATGCCAACCAATTAAGAGGCCGAAGATGCAAAACCCAGAAGAATGCCCTGTGGTTCAATCTGCATATAGTGAGGTACCAGGTATTTCACAACATCAAAGTGTTGGATGTTGAGTTTTCGGTGGCCAGGAATTCTTGGCAAAGGGAGCATCAATGCAAACCGCAGAGGAAATTATGAACGCATTTCTTTTACAAGGGCCTTGTTAAAAGGGGAAAAATAAATAAAAAATAACACTAACAGGGTCTCTCTAGGGCGGGCATGTCAATCTAGTAGTGTTACCCCTTGGAAAGTCTGAATAGGGTCCCAATTGTTAATCATTTATTTTATTTTGCATTTTTTTCTGGTTAAAGTTCTACAGATTGGTTCGATGATGCACGGATGTCTAGATGACGCAGTTGCTGTTGATTGTCCAATCTATTACATGCTGCAAAACCTTTTCATACATTATGTCTGATCACATTGTACCTTGTTATAGATGTATTCCATTTTGCAACTGTGCCAAGAACATGTACCCAATTGTCTGGACTGTCCTTAACAACAACTTGTTACACTTCAACGCTGAAGTCAGTTTTACACTTTAGGAAAGTACGGCCCTCGGTAGAAGAGGTCTGGAGCATTACGTAATGGTCTTACTCAGTTTGACAATCTAGATTATTTGCATAGGCTATGAATGATCAAATGCCTTTGGGTATTTTGACAGCATCAATTAAATAAGGAGATTATACATTTATCCTGTACCGATTACACTTTCCAAATACAACAAGAAAATGGGAATGGTGGGGGGATGGAGGGGGTAGATGGTTCTTTAAACTACAGAACAGCACAAGAACAAAAACCCATTGATTATCTGACCATGCCAGGGTTCTTACATCACTACATAGATTTTTTATTTCTACAGCTATTGATCAAGATACATCAGCAGAGAAAATTTACCTTGTACAGCGCTGACGGATTCTATGGAGAGGACCCTTCTTCCAATGGATGAAAGGCTTCGACAAACGGATGCAGAGGAACAGTTAAGCTTTTCTTCACACTGCGATATAATGCTCTGTACGCACAGAAGATTTATTTCATATGAGATCCATAAAGATAATTGTGCATGCATCACACATACATCTATAGATCAATACAACTGTCTTTTTTCTTTTTTTAATTCTACCATATCAAGCACAGATACAAAGACAGAAGAATGATTGTTAGAACCTAGGGAAGAGTTATTTGATACAAATTCACACAGAGGAGAGGACAAAAAAAAAGGACTTTAAATCTCTATATACACTTGTAAAACTGTATAACATTTATCCACAGTGGCTAAAAAGTTTTTACCATTATTACTACTACTGTTATTTTTATAGTGCTCTCAATTTACACAGTGCTTCATACTCTATTCATTCACATCAGTCCCTGCCACCAAGGAGCTTTCAATCTAAGGTTCCTTTGTCACAAGGACACATACTAGGGCCAATTTAGACAGTAACCATTTAAACTACTAGCATGTCTTTCGAGTGTGGGATGAAACCAGAGTACCCGGAGAAAACCTACGCTAGCACAAGGAAAACATGCACCCTCCATGCGTATAGTATCCTGGATCCCAACCAGACATTGAATAAGAGAGCATTAAGTGCTAGCTCTGCAGGGGGGCTGTTTCTCCCTTATTAAAAATAGTAACACATTTGCTTTAAGATTGTTTTTTTAATGCTTACATTTATTTTAAGGCAAAAATGACTTTTGCCCTTAACTGAAACCACTGCAAAAGTAATACACTGGTGACAGTTTACCACAGGGGTAGGCAACCTTGGCACTCCAGCTGTTGTGGAAGTACAAGTAGAATGAGGCATTGCAAGACTGACAGCCGCAGGTATGACTCCCAGAGGCAGAGACATGATGGTATTTTTAGTTTCAGCACAGTTGAAGTACTGAGATTGACAACCCCTGGTTTACCAGATGAACAACCAAGATTTGGGTAATTATAAGCACACGATTAACTACATCACTCTATGGTGATAAAGAATGTACAATTTTACCTCAATGTCCGGTCTCTTTCCCGGGTTCTCCTGTTGCATACAATCCAGCATGAAGTTTAAATCTTGACAAAATTCTGTTTGTGAATCTGGGTCAACCACGTATTCCACTGCTGCTTTTAGTGTTGCACCCAGAGAGTATATATGTGCCTGCATAAAGAAAATAATAGTCACAGATACAGAGCAGTAGAACATAAATATGGCCATGCTGGGCCACTAAGAAAATAAAATACAAAGAGCACACGTGTTTCTTTACCCATTTAATTTTTGTGAGAGCTGGGATTATACTGCTGGCAGTAAAAAGGCTCTATGCCAAATCTTTAAAATCAGCATATAGAAACAATGTAAACGCTGAACTATGACACATAAAAACCAAAAACACAGTTAAAAGCAGATGTCTTATGATGCCTCATGAAGCCCATCTGTCAGCTGCTTGACCAGACTCTGAGATTTTTGTTTTATGTGAACCTGACCTAGCATAAAATATTGTGACAGTAAAACAAGAGCAGATGTGCAAATGCCAAAAAGGTGCCTGCAAGGACCTGTGGGAGTCCTCAAACCAGTCCGTGTGTCCCTATGCACCACCTTGGGTCTGAAGCCTGAGAACTTACCTGTCCAAAATGAAGACGCACTTTGTCTATCAGTTGTCAAATGCCAGAACTTCAGTGGGATCTATTAACAGTCTATGTCTCGGATCCAAGATTACTCAACCATGATTAAAGGGCAAAAGGGGTATTTGCAGGCACCACAAGATGCAGCATTTCAACAATGCTGTTACCCTATGCTCCTCACCAATGTTACAGTCCGACTGTTTAAAGGAGAACTATGAGGCAAGTGCTTTTCACTCATCCTTATAGTTCTAGCCGACCTGCGACAATGAAACTGTCACAGGTCGGCTCAGTAGATCGGGAAGTGAGCGAACACATACCGGCGTTCGCTCACTTCTCGATCCTGACACGGCAGAGAGCCATGACAGGGGAGGGACTGGATTCCCCCCTCCCATCCTCCAGCGCTGACTGGCGGAATGGACGGGGGAGGGGGTGGGTACAGCTGGCTGTGCCTCTAGATAGGCAGAGCCAGCTGTCACTCAAGCAGCTGGGTGGATCCAGACATAATTGTCGGGATCCGTTTCAGCTGCGGCGTCTCAGTATACCGAGCTTAGGGTGACGGGAGGACACTAGTTTGTGTCCTCCCGTTACGCTTAGGAGAACTATGGGGAAAAGCCCTAACCCCATAGTTCTCCTTTAATCTCCTCTAGATTTACCAAAAATGAGGTAGTGCAAGGGCTTATCGGGTTTGTATGCGAACTGAGCTTATATATCACATAGTTTGGGTAATTTTAAAGTTGGCTGTAAGGTCCAGTTGTAACACGTATGATGAATTTTAGAAACATTTCAAGCCTGGTTTGGCTCACCTTAAAAATGGGTAGCCCCATCACCTCCCAATCCTATGTCAGTAAAAAGAGAGACCAAAAGATGGGTACTGTACGATTGTAAATATTTGGTAAAGCCAACATCTTGACTAATATCCAAAAGATTCCGATGACTTCCAACAGCTTGCCGTGAGCATCCAGGGAAAGAAGGGCATTCCAGGATTCACACTTTCTGTGACATACAGTGCCCAAGCAATTCCTCCAGTTTTCTTTGAAAACAAAACACACTGGGCCAGGCTTACCAGTGGTTTTAAAGCTCCATAATCTATCTTTTACACTGTGAAAAGGCACAATGCCAATACCAAACACTGAACTATTTGTTTGTCCCTTAAAGCGCACCTTGCAGCTATAATACAAGGTCTGTTTTTTAAGTGCACCCCCCATTCCTTGCTGAAAAGCAGCATTAAAATTAAATAAAAACTTGTACGGGAGGAGAGTTATACTTCCGTTTCCCCTGGACTTCTGCATGCAGCGAGGGTGAGATCACCCTCCTCCCAAAGAGATCTGAATATGGTAGAGTACTCCAAATCTCACCGAGAAGACACTCCCAGCCAGGTAAGAGGCAAGTATATTATCTATCTTATTCTACACTTACAGGTATTTTTTTGCTGCTTTTTATGAATGGGGAGATCGGGCCCACTTAACCAGTTGACATCCGCGGTGTTAAACCCCCTTCCCATCCAGGCCATTTTTCAGTATTCAGCGCTGCGGTACTTTGACTGACGTTTATTCCGTCATGCAGCGCTGTACTGAAATGAATTTTATACCCTTTTTTGGGGACACATAGAGCTTTCTTTTGGTGGTATTTATTCACCACTGGGGTTTTTATTTTTTTATATATTAAAGACAAATTACAGATTTTTTTTATAAAAAAACAGTTTCCCCTATATTAAATTCTAAAACATTTATAGTTTCCCAATTTTTTGGTAAAATATAAAAGACGGGGGTCTAGTCGGGTAAAGAGACACCAAACATGTAACACTCCACTATAATAGAAATTAACAAAATCATTAAAAAAAGAAATCAATATAGCATTTATATATAGCAGTGTATTTGTTGCAAAAGCCATTTTGTAATTATTAAAAATGACCTTTCCATTTAAAACAGCGAACGCTGTAATTTTCTAAAAGTGTCAAAAAAAATGTAAACGCCCAACTTGATTGGCTGACTTAATTTTCCAGAAGTCTGCACTAAGATGCAATTCAAGACATCCCTTGCAATAGGAATTTTATTTTTGGTGCGATACTCTCTAAGGGTGATTACTGCTAAAGGAATGCAGACACTGCACCTTTCCTCATTACAACACAGAACATCCATCAGCTGATCAGATTGTAAAGGGCACAGGGGGGAATTTATCAAAACTGGAGCAGGCAACATCTGGAGCAGCTCAAACTTAACTGAACAAACTGAGAATAAAGGCTGATCGTATTGAGGTGTTGATTGTTACATATTTAAAACCCAAATTCCCCCAACCTTAAACCTTTGCTTGAGAGTGTTTACTTGACCTTAATGTATTCCTGTCGTAGGAGATGTATGGAGGCTGCCATTGCCCACTTTCTTACAAAATTGCTAGTTGTCTGGCTATAGAGGTGACCCCCTAAAGTGGCTGCAATACTGTAACTGGCCCAGAACAAGTATACATGTAATAAGTGTTGGAGAAAATAGATGTTTGTCTTTATACTTGCTCCAAGTCACCAACTCAGGAAGTATGGATGGTCAGTACAAAAACACGGGGAACTTACATTTTCCTGGGCGCTACGTTATTCTAACCTCACAGTCAGGTCATACACCTTCCGTTTTATATCTTTCAGCTCAAACTCGATCCATGCCAAGTGTGGGTAGGGAATTTCCCCTGTTGGCTATTGTAGTCGGACAGTGGTGAGGGGACGGGAGGATCTTGAGGTGGCTACACACTGGTCCTGCTGACTTGGGTGACCAGTGTATAACCAGCTTAAGCAAGAAAGGTAAAAGTGCCAGCAGGTTACCAAAAGAAAAAGGGAATTGGTAAAAATAAAAAAAATACAATAAAATACCTGCGATTGTGTGAAAGGAGGGGGCAAGGAGCAATACTGTATTATGGAATGCAGAAATGGAGCAAGAAGATCTGCTTTAAAGACCCATTTAGAATGTATGCAGCTGTTTCAACTTTTTTCTTTTTTTAAGAAGCTGCTCCACATTAACTCACCTCTAAAGTGTTACCAGTCAGATCAAATTCTGGAGGTACAAAAGCACCTTCTGGATCATCTGAAATGAAAATGTAACCCAGTTTTAATAACAAGATCACTGAATACTTTGTAGTTTGTGTCACAGTGACAGCAAACACGCCATTCACAAACCAGATCAGAGGAAAGAACATTTAAAATATGCATAAACACATCACAGTGAATATTTAATATCCGAGATTAACACACAAGACCAGAACAGTTCTATTTTAAAAGCTTGTTCACACTTTATCCAGTGCGTTCCAGCACAGTTAGCACTGGATTACATACTTATTACTTTGAAGTGATGACGTTTGTTTTAGAAATGTAAAAGATTGCTAAAAATAAAAAATAAATTTTGGGAAAAAAAAAAATAACAGTTATACTCACCCGAACTGCGATCCTGGCTTGCTCCTAGAACAGTCCTTCAGCCTTGGGCCTCCTCTGCTCAGGTGGTCTAAGATCCTGCGAGTCATCAAGTCCTATACAGTCTATAGAACATGAGGGATATTCCATCACTGGAGAAGAGAGGCTGAAGGGATCGGTCTAGGGTTCAGCCAGGATCATGGTTCGGGTGACAACATCTGTTATTTTAGCTCCCCATGCAAAACGAGCACTTAACACTTGCAGTGCAGGGGTAGCCCCACTGCAAAGGTTAAGATTTTATTTGCCTGCAGGTCTTCTTTAAAACTCCTGAAAAGAGAGACAGCATGGTTATTCAATGCTGGAAATCAATCTTAAGAGGTAACTTCTGGGCAGCCACCAAATCAATTCATCAGTGTGCCTCTTACAGTATTGGTAAATCCGTAGTTATAATCGCAGGAATGTAAAACGCTCAGCATATGGATTGGCAGGAAGAGTACAATGGGGACTTTCCTTGCTACTAAATATTCCACGGTCACCTGTTAGTGGTATTATAACAAAGTGGAAGCAACTGGGAACAACAGCAACTCAGCCACCAAATGGTAGGCCACATAAAATTACAGAACGGGGTCAGCGCATGCTGAAGCGTTCAGTGCGCGGAAGTCGTCAACTGTCGTCACTTCGTGTGGCCTTCAGATCGGCACAACAGTGCATAGACAGCTTCATGGAATTGGTTTCCTTGGCCGAGCAGCTGCATCCCAGACTTACATCACCAAGTGCAATGCAAAGCGTCGGATGCAATGGTGTAAAGCACGCCGCCACTGAATTCTAGAGAAGTGGATACATGTTCTCTGGAGTGACCAATCACACTATTCTGTCTGGCAATCCAATGGACGTGTCTGGGCTTGGCGGTTGCCAGGAGAACGGTACTTGCCTGACTGCATTGTGCCAAGTGTAAAGTTTGGTGGAGGGGGGATTATGGTGTGGGGTTGTATGTCAGGGGTTGGGCTTGGCCCCTTAGTTCCAGTGAAGGGAACTCTTAAGGCATCAGCATGCCAAGACATTTTGGACAATTTCATGCTCCCAACTTTGTGGGAACAGTTTGGGGATGGCCCCTTCCTGTTCCAACATGACTGCGCACCAGTGCACAAAGCAAGCTCCATAAAGACACGGATGAGCAAGTTTGGGGTGCAGGAACTTGACTGGCCTGCACACAGTCCTGACCTCAACCCCATAGAACACCTTTGGGATGAATTAGAGCGGAGACTGCGAGCCCGGCCTTCTCATCCAACATCAGTACCTGACCTCACAAATGCGCTTCTGGAAGAATGGTCAAACATTCCCATAGACACACTCTAAACCTTGTGGACACCTTCCCAGAAGAGTTGAAGCTATTATAGCGGCAAAGAGTGGGCCAACTCAATATTGAATCCTATGGACTAAGACTGGAATGCCATTAAAGTTCATGTGCGTGTAAAGGCAGGTGTCCTAATACTTTTGGCAATATAGTGCATTAGTAGCCTATTTATATGAGAAGGAAACTGATCTTTACTGGTCCCTGAAAGAAAACTCTGTCAGACATCTGTATATTTCAATATTTCAAGAGCTGGCTTTCATTTATTTAATAGACTGGGCTGACATGCTTGCAGCAGTTTCATTTTGCAGGGTAACACCACTTTGTGTTTATGTCATGAGAATTTCATAAATGATGCACTTTTGTCATGCAGAAAAAAAAAAAAAAAAAAAAAAAAATCT